TCTTCAATGCTAAGCAAAGTGCTGAGCACTGTGCTGATATTGTCGTAATCCAACTGACGTGAAAGCAGATACGAGGATAATAAGCTGCTGGTTTTTGCCAGAAATTCGTCAGTAAAGTTTTCCTCAAAAGCTTGCAACATATTTGAGCTGGGCTCGTAATGGGGTAGGTGCTTCATTTTTTAATACCACACTATCACTCAGCTTCAACAAATATGTATATGCAATTGCAAAACTAATGGGCTTGCCGATTCGCGATCGACGCGTAACTGAAGCTGATCTCAAAATTGGATTCCCATAATTGGCATTTCCGAAAAGTGTGTATCGATGTATCGATAAATACACGCTTTGATTTTTATTATATCAGTCATCAATTGATCTCAAATGTCAAGTTTCATAGCATCTGGCAACTGTTCGACAGTTCGAATATTTATTCAAATAGTCTGGTTTGGAGAGCATGGATCCCACTCATGATTTTGCAGTGTTTGCATGTGTACATAAAAAAGAAAAATCCCTTAGCTGACATAAATATTTAAGTTAAAGTGTGATATTATACATAGATTGGGTTTTTTTTTATAAGGCTTAGCTCCAAATTGACCACGTGCCGAGAAACCTATCAGTTTTGGAATTTGTATATTCTTTAAAGCAAAAGTGAAATCTCTGTTCCATTACGAGCCAAGCTCAATATGGACAGCAGTGGAAACTCTTATCGCACATTGCAGTCACGGTGATTCGGAGATTACTTTGCTGTCTTCTCGAAGACGGACTTGGTGGCGATATAAAAGTGCAGTAGGCGGAGATTGGCGTCCTAACTCCATATTTGGGTCAATGCCGGCAGCGTGGAAAGCTCTCAAGGTAGCGATAAGCCAATTATAATTGTATCGTTAGTTATTTTTTTAAGCATCCATACTTGCTATCCAATCCTCGTCGTGCGAGGGAAACATGATGAGCATGCAGCAAACTTTTATACACCTGGAGGACTTTGTGACCAAATTGCGGCTTTAGCAGTCATATTTAAAGAAAAATTCTTACAATTATTTTTATCTAATCGCTAAAAACATATTTAATTAGTTTGAAAGAATTACGTTACAAAATCTAACAATTGTTCCATTAGATGCCATAATATCAGATATTTAAGGAGAATGAGGGGTTTTTTCAAAATATTTTAACAAACAAATAATGTTTTCCGATTTGTTTTTTTGTTTATATATAATTATATATACATCATTTGATTAAAAATAAATAAATGAATTATAGGGTCGAAGAGGATATAAAATGACATATATAAAAATATGTACTTTGCAATAGATGAGTTTCAGCTCCATTCTGAAGCTTTTATTCCCATTAATTTTGTCATTGTTCTGACTTGCAATTTTCACGGCAAATTTATGACCAACTGACCCGAGCACCATTAGCTCTAAGCCCTGTGCTCAGTGTACTATCTTTGCTGGCGAATCTTTAATTAAAGCTGGCCTCCCTTCGTCCTACCCCATCGTCAAACTGTTTTCAAATTAAAACGTTAAACATTCGATTATCGCACTTTGCCTGAGACCGAAAATGTTTTCAGATACAACGCAATTGCAGAAACTTTTTGCTAATGATCAACTCATGTAACTGCAAGTCAAGGCGGACGTCGAAGCAGTTAGTCGACTTAAGGATGCCCTTTATACCTGAGTATACAGTGTTTCAATTCCTCCTTTAGCTTAAAATTTCTAGGCATTGCAATTCAATGATTACGTAATCGCTGCCACCTAGGTCAATTTCTAATACACAAACAGATATATTTCGATGAAGTTGGATATGTGAAAATAATTGTATGCACAAGTGTAAGATATTATCATTAAAGTTCTGAATTTTGTTTCACATAACATATAAATAAACGAAAGAGTATATAAAAGAACATGATACCTTTTAGCGCATTAGCTATGTACAGGGTGCCATAAATAGACCAGGGAGCAAGTGAGATAAATACTAAATAAAGATAGAGAGAAAGAGATAGAGCGTTAGAACGTCAGAGCCGCGCTGACTACGTTTTCTGTCTGCGCCACTTTAATGTTTTCAAGCTTGGGCTCGTAAAATTTTATGCGTTTTTCCGGCATTCAGCAAATGAAAATTATCCGAAATAAAAGAACCCAACTTGCCAACTGCAGTCAACTTGAACTTGTGTAGCGCACAGATACAACAGCAACAACCGCAGTGGTGGGTGGCTGGAGAGTGAGGCGGGGGTATTCTGGCTCTGAGGGTTGGTTTGTCCTCGTCGCTGCTGCCTACTCGGATTCGCATTCGCCCCCTTTTGTGTTGTGTCTTTGCATTTTGTTTGGTTTTTATGACTTTGCCTGGTTGTTGGGCTGCCATTGTTTTTGTTGTTGTTGCTGTTGCCATTTCTCATTTTATGTTTATGTTTCGTGTTAATGTTGCATTTCATTTCCATGTACATTTCAGCATGCCCGCTGCCTTGGATTACCGCTTCCCTTCCCGCCAACGTCGCTTGTGTATCCAACTCCAACTCCGTCGCCATGGCACACACATAACTCAGCTCAGCTGTTGGTCCTTGGGTTATCCTTGTAGCGAGAGTCCAACAACCCCTTTACACTGCTTGCAACCTTTCGGGCTGTCCCTTCAATTCTCTGTCCGTCCGTTCGTCTGTTGTCTATCTGTCTGACTGGCAGCCAGTTGTCTGGCCCTGGTCTGACTCCGGTCTAACTCTGGCCTGACTCTCTTTTTGTTCCGCTGGCTTCTACTCAGCTGCGGTGGTCTTTTCGCATTTGTCTGGTCGATTCCGTGTAGCCATCAGTTCTTACACTGCGCGAAATGTTCGAATTCATTCAACGATATGCCATTCGATTGTCGAGGCATTCAGGTACTCTATAATTTCATTGTTTTTTTCTGCGACATAAACAACAGCATTTCTGTGGAACTGTAAACGTAAATAATACTTTGCATAGTTTTAGCTATATACACTAATGAGTCAAGGCGATTTCTACGGATACAGATATACACATAGAATAGATGGAAAGTTGTTATTTGAGGTATTCAAAATATCTGTGTGCATTGCATAATTTATTTATTTATTTGTTGGGATATACAAATATTTAGACTCTGCAATTATTTTCCTTTGTGGAAGCTCTTTTATTATAAAGACTTTTTCTTACAAATGCTATAAATTATTTTATATTTATTACTATTATTTTTCTCATTTGACTAACATGTTAATAGCAAATACAATTAAACATCGCTACAATTTGTCTGACAAAATATAGCAAACCTTATTCATTTTGTTTAATTTTGTTTCAGATACCAACCACAAAGGGTTCGCCGCATTCGATTTGAATCAATTGATATGCCCACACAATATTCTATTCTTTGTTTAATTTGTTTAATGTTGCAGGCAAAATGTCGCCTTTGTTGCGCCTAATTGAGCATTCATTTCTAGCGGAAAGATTGCGACTGCGCTCGATGGGCAATCAGAACTCACAGATCTGACCCCAGCAACTACTCCCTGTGTGTCTGTGTGTGCTGATGGACGAGTCTATGCATATTTCAATAGTTTCTGTCTGCTTGATATTGCAGGGATTGGGAACTACTGAGCCCTTGGCTATGCCATGTCCATGGCTTCTTCACCTAGTGCCAAACGATTTCGCTCCCGTTTCGAATTATTTAGCGACCTTTCAACGGAACGTGCGCCCAGCCGGCTGCCGCCATTAAAATTAACTTCGAAAAACTACAAATTAATTAGTTAATTAATTAGCTAAAACACTTGAGTGCTGTGCGAGACGCTATAAATAGTTCGGGATTTCAGCGTCTTTGATGATGCTGCAGCGCCTTTGATCAGCTACCAGGCGGCGGTGCTGACAGCAGCAGCAGTAACGGCAACAGCAACTGCAACACATGCAGCACATGCAGCACAGATTGTGCATCAAACTTACACACGCTTTGTTTACATGCACGCAGTGGAGTGGGAGTGGCAGGGGGTGGGGTGGAGTGGAGTTGGGGCAACGACTGTTTGTTAAATTTATGCATTTTTCTGCTTAAAGGCAATGCAACTAAATGAACATCAATCACGTGACGCCGACGCTGACGAGGGGCAGCAGCAACACAACAAGAACAACTGCAACTGCAACTGCAACTGCACTTGCCACTTAGATCTTCTTCACTCCATATCTCTTCTCTCTCTATCACTCTCTCTCCTCTATCTCTCTCTCTCTCTCTCTCTCTCTCTCTCTCTCTCTCTCTCTCTCTCTCTCTCTCTCTCTCTATCTTTCGCTCACTTGATCTGTGTGTCTGTCGTTTTGGCCACGCAACGTTGGCTGGGTACATGCATTGCGCTGCACTTCCTGTGCCGTGTCAGGCAGGGGGTGCGGGTGGCAACAGGAGGTGTGCGGTGCTGCAACAGAAGTTTGTTGTGCGTGACGTATGCACATCAAAAGTTTTTGGTTTTTATCTTTCATCAGTCTTGTTTTTGCTGTTGTTATTTTGTTGTTGCTTTGGTTGCGTTTTTATGCTTCTTTACCTTCTCCAGTTTGTGGCTTTGGCCAGGCTAAAGCGCTTGCCGGAAAGGGAAGTCAGATGGCCGAGAAAATGTGAGAGATGGGGGAAGTTTTGTTAATTTGATATTCATCAAATAAACCATTCATTAATTTTTGGTGACTCTAACAAGATGTCAGTTTCGGTCCAAGGTTTGAACCAAAAAACCCATTCACCCGGTTCTCAAACCTTTTTTTTTCTCAAGAACGTTTTTTCAACCTAGTTTCAAACCCATAAAACATCATAAAAAGAGGCATGCATATGTTTTCGCTTAGCAACGATATTTTTTTAAGCAAAACAAAAACAAAAATATTTTCCATTTTGAAAAGGTTTTTTTTACAGTCTATATATATATATATAAGTATATATATCTAAGACGTGCGATTGGGTTTTAAAATGTAGTAACATACTTCTTGCCACAGGTCTTTGGCATACCCTCTGCCATAATAGTCATAGTCATATAGAGTTTGGGTACTCACATATCACGCTCAATTTAGCTGGAGGCGATGCCTGCCTGGCGCCGCTGGTCACGCTGGCTGCAATGCACACATAATCGCCGGCATCCTCGCGTTGCAACGACTCAATATGCAAATTGGAGCCGATTTGCGCGACGCGCCTGTCATACACAATTTGCTGACCTGCAATGGCATTCAGCGTAGAGTGCTGCATTAGTATAATGTTGATTTGATGCCACCGGGTCCCCAGTACTCACCATTATGCAACCATTCGTAGTGCAAATCGCCGGAGGGTCCTGTTGCCTCGCAGCCAAAGTCAACGGCATCGTTTTCAATGATGGACTGACTCTGCGGCGGTTGAATGAATCGCGACGAGCTCGCCAAGCTGGTTGCTGTACAAGTTAGAAAAGAGATTAATGTTACCAGAGCTGGCATGGGAATAATATCTAGATACTACATCCAACAGATAGAGTGTCGGTCGGCATATAACTGATTATATTCTAAACCCTCATAGAATGTATCATATATAGAAGGAGACATCTTCGACCCGATAAAGCTTATATAGCCATATCTGTCTATCCGTCTGTCCGTCAGTCTATGCTGAGTTGTTTCTTTGCAAACTGAATATTCTCTGAGTCTCTTGAAGCCTTGCATGGCTCTGTTTTTCTTTCTTTCATCATAAAGCTGGATCAACATTGGAAATATAATATAGCTGCCATAGGCACGAGCGGTCGACAATTAAGTATTTTTATAGTGATAGAATATTATTAGGGTTTATTTGAAATATATCTTGACTATTCTTTGTACTGAAAGTTACATAAAAACTAGGCATTGTTTCTATAAAATGCAAAAACGTAACACACCCAAAACTCGGAACTTTCAAAAGTCCTGAGGGCCATCTACTTTGAACTTTTTTTCGGACAGCCGCAAGGGTTGGGCAGTTTAATATGATTAACAAAAATTGCATTTACCATAATTGCGTTTAATTACAGTGGTTTAAGCAAATTAAATGCGCTTAAGCGGCTTAAATTACAGTGTTTAAGCTAAATGCAATTTTGTTAAGCGCCAAATGGCAACAACAACATAAAATTACAAAGCATAAACACAGGCGCAGTTGCGTGTCCGCAAAACACAAAAAATTACACACAATATGTGCTTGAAAAAACACGTATGAACCATGTAAGGGCAGCTATGCCCGCAAAACGAACTCCAAATACCCTACACAGAGAGCAAGCCGGCGGAGAAAATCCTATCATAATCCTATCATATTGATACCCTTTTTTTATAAAAGCCCGAATCTAGTTTAAATTATTAAACAAGGTATATATATCTAAATAACATTTGATAATTAGAAATTGAATTCCAGTTTAAAACTTAATCATTTGAGTAAAAAATTAATTTAACTTATATTTATAGTACATAAGTACTTGTATATTGTATATTGACTTATTATATATCTTTAAATCATTTAACTAATATTTATAATATATAAGTATTTGTATATTAAATCGTATCGTATATACTAGGAATCTGATCTTCAAAAACCTGAAAGTCTCCTACAAATAGATATCAGGGATATTTCAACGGAGGCTGTAAATTGAATTTCCATAACTCAAATTATTATTATTTAAAAAATTTTGCTAATGCGTATCTTACATATTTCATAATTAAACTCGTATACCCTACATAAGGGTATATAATGGAGAAGCACAACACAACAGAGGCCTCTATGCCGATGCACAGAGCCAGCATAATTAAAAAGTCGGGGCCATAAAAAATACAGTTAAGCAAAAAATGTAAGCGAATTGTTTAATGCAATCAGCAGGCCGCAAATGGAATTTATGGCAAATATTATTTATTTTTAGTTTAGTGCAAAAATAATGCAAAAATATGATCAAAGCCAGAGTATTATTGCATATGAAAATGCATGTGCACATGTGCATATGTTACAATAATAATTTGCATATCTACAAAGGCTGGCCAATTTTTATATGTATAAGGTATACTAAGAGTTGGAATTTACATTTACAATTTTCAGTAAAAGTTGAAAATGAACTGTACACTACACTGGGAACCGGAAGTATTTCCTTGATGTATCTTTCAGCATATCCTTAGATAACCTACTGCTAGTAAAGTTTTGTAAATTGAATTGAAAAAAGATTTTAAATAGTTAAAATAATAATAAAAACAAAAATTGCATTCAAAATAATAATAAAAGGGTCTTCACCCAAGATACTAGGAACAATTTGAATTTGAGCCCTGGACTTCACTTGCACCAAAGGACTTCAGTATACATATATTTATTTTATTACATTTTTGCCGATTAAACTTACGCTTTTGTAAATTAAGATTAATATTATAGTTATTAGGCGCCAACTTGCAAGAATCTGCATGCAACTTACAAACCCACACACACACACACCTGTTTTACCTGCAAACAAAGAGCGAAGTAAGAAAAAGAAAACTTGGCAATTCAGCAGCGATTATTTTTGATTGTGGTACGAGCCGTGTGGCTCTTCTTGTGGAGGGAACAAGAGCAGCAACTACAAAACGGAGACCATTATATTTGGGCACTAATTGAAGCAATTTGAGAAAACACCTCGACAAGGCAGCACCAGCTACAGCTCCAGCTCCACTTTGAGACGGAGCAGGACACGGAATCAATAAGCGCTCCAAAGCTGCGAGCAACATCATTAAACTCATTTCGTTTGTACTCTTTGTTGTATTTCCAGCTGCTCTTGTTTTTGTTGTTGTTGTTGTTGTTGATGCTGCTGGTTGGGCTTTTGGCAAATCAGATGCCAGTCACATAGCCAGCGACGTGTTATGATACACCACAAAGATGGAGCCACAAAGTCAACCACAAAGGCTGTCAGACAGGCGCTAGGGAGACTCCCTGCCAGCCCGTCAGCCAAGCAGAATCGATTTAATTTGTTGCTGCAACCAGTTAAAGCAACCCCTCCCCGTCCCCTCGCAGTCATCGAAGGAGCAGTCAGTTACTGTGCGTCGATTAAAGAAATATGCGCCCCCGGTACGGCTGAGCTCGATTCGGTTTGATTGCGCTGACGTGGGCAAAAAGTCAAGCGCAAAGTTGTGCGTGGACCAGAGGACCAGCGTGGTCTTGAATAAAAATATATGTTGGTCAGGCCGAAGATTCAATACCCTTTAGAAGTGCTTTTATACTATACTATATGAGTTATGTGAGACAAATTGTGAGGCTCGTAATTGCTGAACTTGGTGAAAATTTCTTGAAAAACAGACCCTTTTCTATATAAAATTAACTTATTTTCATTCTTTTTCTTATTTGATATAGTATTCTGATATATTGCTTAAAAATGGGAACATGGAAAAGCAATAAACACTATGTTTGGTGAATTTTTGTTTAAAAACAAATAAGTATTTCATAAAAGAACAACATTTTTGACCTATCACTGCTTTATGTTGTGATGTTCGATCCAGTCTATGTACAGATGGATCTATGGAGTTCTGGTAAGTTAGCCTTAAAACTGAGAGACTGATTTGTGAATACTGATCAAGAATCATCTCTGACTGCATAAAGTATATAAATTACTTTATGCAGTCAGAGATGACTCCGTTTACAGGTTACACATTTGTTGACAAAATTAAAATACTCTCTGGAAGGGTGTATGAACTGTGTTGATGTGGCGCAAGAGGCGACCGTGCAGCTGTCTTTGCCTCCTTATCTGTCTATCAGATGGTCAATCTTTCAGTGAGGGTGTGTGATGATAATTAGTTCGTTTGTTTGCGCTACATTCGAGTGTCCGAGTTCCAATGCTGAAATCAGCCAGTCAGCGACCAACTGCTGAGTCTGCCACAAATTGTGGGGCAACATTTGTCGATTAAGCGCAATGAATGAGAAAATATCGCTGTAATAATCAGGAGTCCAAAACAGCGATCCGTGTGCCTCAAGCGGCAACACGCAGCACAGTCAGCACTTGAACTAGTCCCTGCTGCTTGTTATTGTTATTGGAGGCTGTGCCACCACAGAGCCAGAGACAGAGACAGCCCCCACTCCCCACAGACGCGATGGGTGGCGTTTGATTTGCTTTGGCTGGCCAAAGTAGAAAACAACAATAACAAAATGGGAAAAACTCAACTGTCACTCAAGAATTTCTGGCATTTTTACAGTCAGCGCTGGGAAAACCTTTGGAAAACTGCAAGTCAACATGGGAAAGGCATTTAAACAGCAAAACAGTCAAATAAAAAGAGACAAACAGATAGAGCAAGCGAGGGAGCGAAAGAGAGAGAGAGAGAGAGAAAGAGGGAACTTTGAATGGAAGCTTGAAATGAATGTGCATGACAATTACCCGTCAAAAGTTTGATGTAGGGCTTACAACAGGGCCAAAATGAACAACAGAATCAAAGTAAACTGAAATGGAATACCATAAAAAAGTAAAAAGGCAAAAATCAACAAAAAATATAACAAAATAAAAGGATGTCCATTTGTGCGTAGTTTATTTTTATAGAATTTGTCATTGCAATGATGCGTCATTTTATACCCTGTTTTCATAGAAAGTGAAAGATGTGTGACACAGATAGAAATAAAGATTTTCGATCCCAATGAATCTAACTTATCTATATAAGTGTCTGTATCCAAGGAGTTTATCTGCCCATATATGTGCTTCGTCTACCATTTGGACATGTGTCCTTTCGGTCATTAACATTTGAAAAATTTTATTAAAATTATTCAGAAGCATTTCGCACTTATTGAAACATTCAATCTCTTGAGTGGGAAATGGGTGAAGTTTTAAGATTCATCCGATTTGCCTCCAAAATATTATAGTCTTTTAACAAGTAGAGTTCGAAAAAAAAACCGAAATATGGATGGAAGATGAAAACTTGGACCGAGTCAAAGCTGGTAATTAATAAATTATTGTTTCTTAGACTTCAAGGAACAACGAAGTGTACACTAAACCGGACACAATGCATATTAAAGTTAATAACAATTTGTATACCTCAACCATCTTTAAATTAGAGCTGGGCAATGAATATGAAAATCAAATCCAATCCCACGCATTAAAGAGTCATTCCATAATTTAGAAAAATATAAATGCAAACGAACTTTTCCCCTGGAACATCTGCTCAGATTTATCAAGCCAAAAGCTAAGCCCAAAAATACTTATATTTATAAGGCATCTTTTTACAGTCATCGCCCCGACCCCTCCCCCGTCGCCAGCTCCAGAAACTCGTTTAATAATTTGAAGTAGTTTCAACGAGGCTTCAGACCATCTAATCTGAACACAACGAAACAATGCACAGTGTGAGGGACCCTAGAGATTTGCAATACACGTCTAATTCATGCAATTATGAGTGCTCGACATGAACTTTAAGTTTGCCATTGGTCTGAAAAGGGGGCAAGTTGTATTATGGGTTGCATATTCATATAGTTGCTGCCTCATGTCAGCTGCCAGGCCGCATTTCGTTCTCTTTGTGTGTGTGTGTGTGTGTGTGTGTGTGTGTGTGTGTGTGTGTGTGGGCTGGCATGGCATGTTGCATGCCGCATTTTGCATGCTTGAATAACAAATTATGAGTGCCACACAAAGACTCACACAGAGAGAGACTGCCTTATTATTTGCCATACAAATAATGGACGCTGAGCGTTGCACAGATTTCAAATGTGCACCATGCCACAGGCAACGACGACGACGACGGCAACGGCGACTGCGACTGGGACTCTGTTGCCTGGCTCTGGTTCTGGTTCTGGCTCCGGTTGCCTTTTGTCTGCGGCTGTTTGCCTTTGTGCTACTTAACAGTCAGCAGTTTTCAGCGTGTCCTGTCAAACACAAAAACACACGCACACGCACACTCACAAGCATTTATATGGCATATGCGTATGTATTTGTGTGTGCGTGTGTATCTGTGTGTAGTTTTGCATAATTATGCTGCGCTGCCAGCTCCGATGGCTCCTTGTAATCGCAGAGCGTCAACTACATTTGATTAGCTGAATTTTCGGCGTCGCTTGTCTCACTTCAAGTGCCAATGGAGATCCCGAATGGCATGTCCTGGCAGTTTGTCTAAGTGTGTGTGTGTGTGTTCTTGGCATTGTTTGCCTTTCTTGCCCTTTGTTATTTGCCTAACTACTTTATTTTGAACTTGGTCGGCATATCCTTGCAGTTGCGCTCATCACTTTCCATGGGCCTCCTCTCGACTACCTCTCCCGCTGCTCTTGGGCAGCTCTGTGGTAATCTGTGGTCCCGGTCCGCCCGGCTGCCTGTTAATTGACTCATTTTGCGCGCCGTTTGCTTTCAAAATTCAATTGCACCGCTTGCTGTGGTCTCTCGGCCGGCGGTTCACTTCTCGGCTTGGTTTCGTAATATGAGCTCAATGTGGTTGGTTTCTTTGAGAAGCCAAACCTTTTGAAGTACACAGAATTCGCACAATGAACGCCTACTTGGCCTAAGCAGGCAAATAGAAAATAGAGACGACTTATTACGGTAGCCGGCTTTGTATAGCAGCCAACTTACCCGGAGCTAGCACAATATTACTATATATATAAATACTTATTTTCGTTTTGTAAGGTGAATTCAAATGATCTGAGTTAAATATTGTTGCCTAGTGAAATGGCTTTTAATTTAAGCCTAACAGTTGATGAACAAAGTTTTCATTTAAATTCCTTAAAACCTTATGTACGAAGAAGCTTCTGGCTCGAGTTTCAGGCAAAGGTAAAAATGTTGCAATAACTTTTATATCTAACGTTTAGCTATGTAGCTGTAAGCTATATTTTATATAGTTTATATTAGATTAGTATCCCACTTTGAGCGCTTAATTAAAACAATCTATATTTATTCATCTTATTTCTGATTAAGTTCCCTTATCGCTTTGTTACTGGAAAAGAGCCTATAAGAATTCCATATTGATTCTCAAGTTGATTTGATTGTCGACATATTTTTAATTACTTAAATGGAGAATGCTACTCGATGCTCTCAACTTATTGTTGCACATGAGTTCAATTACTTTTAAATTGAGCATGAATATTTGCTCAGTATTAATACGAGCCGTTTACTGCCGGAGTCTGAAGGACAACTCCAACCACAACTACCTACACATGTCCTAGACTGTCTTGTACCATTTAGTTTAAAATCTTTATTTATTTATATGTATTTTTTCCACTTACCCAGCACAGCAAACGCCAGAGTAAGCATTAAGAACATATTCATATCCATGTTGGGTATCCTCAGTCAATTCTTTGTCGAGTGTCTGGCAGTCTCTCGGAGCGAGCCAATTAGCAAACTATATGATAACACGACACACACACACAAACACAGACACTCACGTTGATTCTGGATATTATGTGCTGACAAACTGACGATATACTACTCAAACTGAAACTTCTCTCTATGCACGTATGTACGGATGTATGTATGTGTGTATTTGGGTATATCCCTTTAGCACAGTGGGGTATACTCGTAAGCGCAGCCACTCGAAAATGCACTCCACTCAACGCATGTGTAAATATTCAATATTTGGTCGCCAGCCCACAGTCGGACGACGACGAGTCCAACTGGTGACTGCCTTTTTTAACGCTTTGCTTTGTATCTGAGGGGTGGCTGGGCGGGTGGGGTCGTGCGGCGGGGCTTGGTATTTACTATAGACACTCAAATTAAATTGGTATTTACATAGTTGGAACGCATGAAATGCATTTATCACTGAACACGGCGACCAAAAGCAGCAAAGATACGCAGACGATTCACGGCACTTGCTTTTTTATTTTTTAATTTTTTTCTTATTTTGTTGTTGTTGCTGCTGGCTTGGTTTATGTTTCGTGGCTGCGTTTTTATCAGCGCCTAGATTGACAAGCGACAAGCAGCCAAGATACTCGTTGCCTGCTGCTCGCTGCTGGTGCTGTGCTGTGCTGTCATCAAATTGTAATGGCAGCGACACCGGCACCGACAAAGGTATCTAGATACACAAAATGCAATGCCGAAGACGGGGCCGCAGATTGCCCGTGTGGAATGGGTTGTAGTTCAATTACCCAAGCAGCGGACAGGCGACGGGCAGGCAGCGGGCAGGCAGCTTAAAGCCGAACCGTAATACCGTGGTAGACGTACGTACGTTTAAGCGTAAACGAAGCGCACACAAGGCGAGCGCAACAAATCAACTTAATTTGTATCCCAAAGATACAAAATATTCAATGCATTGCATCCTTGACGTGCCTGCGAACCGAACCGGCTTTTATTTTTGTTATTGGTGGGTGCTTTGCTTCTTCTTCTTTCTGCTCTTTTTTGTATATTTTTATAGAGCGAGCGTGAGCGCAACTGCGAGGGGTCGCCGTAGCAGCTGGCAGATACAGATACGTAGCGGCACGGTCGCAGATACACGGTACACAAATTCAGGAGAACCGCGTGCGTTCGACGTCTGTTTATTACTGAAGACATGCGGCAGTCGGAGTTGTTTGTGGAACCGGCTTTTAATGTTGCCACATACTGGGAATGCCTCTTACTTTGTAGCTTTGCGCCTGTCTGCCGGTCTCGTCGTGTGTGCCCAGTATTTTTGTATGTTTTTGAACAGTGTTGCCGTGCGACTGCTTGCAAATACTGGGCTGCCTTGGTTGGCGCGAAAACGAGCCGCATTTGAAATGAGAAATGGAAAACTTAATTGTTGATGGGGCAAGTGCAGTAGAGCGAAAGAGTTAGTTAAACACTTAATTGAACAGCATATAACACTCTACTGTAAGAGTTGGATTGAATTATTTTTAATGCAGCATTTCTTCAGTTAAAATATTTACTGTCAATTGCTAACACTATTATCTTATTCTTTTTAGATTATTACGGGATAAACATGTGATTTCGATATAACTCAATTTATTCGTCTAGGCCTGACTGGACGCCTTGAGGATTAATGCATAAATCAAAGTCGGCTTTCAAATCAGTGTCAATTAGAAGTTGGGGCTAATCTCTTTCGATCCCCACAGACAATGCCAAATGAAGTTATCAATAATCAGCAGTTGCCCGACACATCCCGCGACTCTAAGCCCAAACACTAATGCGCCTTAATGACCAGGCACGAGCTGGCGATGATTACAATGTATATAAAGTAGCTGGGCTAGCTGGACTCGTGTGGAAGTGGATTGGGTGGGTGGCTTGCTGTGTTTATGAGCGGACGCACGACTGGAAGGCTACAAGAAGCTTCCGTCCAAGACACACAGCGACTGTTGACTACTGTGCGTGGTCCGACCGATTAAATGTGTGTGTGTGTTTTTCATTTTATAGTTTTCCGCTTTTTTTACGATGCCTTTCAACCCCCAAAATAGCGAACCCAAAACAATTGCAACAGATCCTGTCGACGCGCCGCCTGCCGACCGACTGACACCCAAAGGTCATAAAATGCCGTTGCCATTTGTATATATGTATACACTATATATATATATATATATATATATATATGTATATGTTGAGGGGTGGTCTTCCTGATTAACAACGGCACAGCCCTGGGACTGCGGTTATCAAACGCCATCCAAAATGTTGGGCCCGTCAATGCGCTTTGCCATCCATTCCTATGCCCAGCGACAGTTATTGATGTCATAAAGTTGGAGATTTATGTCTGTCTGCCTATTTGGGTTTATATTTTCATTGTTTGAACGAGCGGGTCACGGGCCCGGGGAGGATCGCCCCAGAACAGGCAAATGTAGTGTTAATAATCAAGGCTGCAAGCTGAACAACCTTTTTTTTGAGGTTCGCTTCTTGGTTCCAAGCAATGACTCGACTTAAGGTTCGGTTCGGAAGCTAGCTTATTGAGATTCGTTAGGCAGATTTTGGTTCGCAGCTTGGTTTAGGTTCCGATTCGGCCAATTAATCTGGTTTAAGTTTCGGTTCTTGGCAAAAGCCAAATACCGATTTAAACCGGTTCGCTTTAAAATAGATTTACAGCTTAGTTCATAGTTTAGTTAGAAAACTGAAAATGTTCAAAGTGAAAACAGTCTGTGCCTGATCAAACAAAAAATCAAAAAAAAAACTAGAATAAATAGGTACCTAAGTATTTACGTCTATGCATAATATATGCGCATTGCTGGCTGAGTAGCACTATATATATATATATACATATATATATATAAAGCTGCTTACCTTAACTCAACGCCTCGTATAATTTTACTACTATATATGCGTTTGTATACTCTAGATATACTTTTATATATACCATATATATCGGCAATGTCTGCAGACATCAAACATTTAAAGGCATTAAAATAAATTTTAGTAATGCGGCCTTTGCGTAGACTAAACAAAATAAACATATTTCGAACAACTTTTGGAGGTGTTTCGCTGCATTCTCTCCGTGCACTCACTATAAACAAATGAGACGAAAAAGTATCCATAGGAAACAAAAAAAAAACAAGAGAGTAAAACAACATGTAAGAGTGCTATAGGCGGGGCTGTGCCCGACTAGAAGATACCCTGAACCCAACGCCGTGCTTCTTTTACCCTGAGACACTATGAAACATACGTTCTTGATTAACTTTGATGTTAATAGGCCAATCTTTCTGATATATTTAGGGAATAAATATGGTAGCCGATATATGTGTAAATACCAAATCCCAACGATATAGTTCCTTACATGATTTTTTTTTGTAACTTCGAATCTGCGTATACTATATGAGGAGGACCTTTATACTAAATTTGACTCCATCTCCATCTTGTTGCAAGCCCCGAGATGTTATCGATAGTTCCCAAAAGACAGCCATAGCTAAATCGTCGATTCTGAGCAATATATATATATATAATTTTGTTTCGTAAGTCTTCTTCTGTCCGTTACAAACATTTGCAACACTCTAGTATACCCCGTTTGTGTCCCATTGTCAATGGGTTCAAGCTATAAAAATAGGGAAATACGGAAGGGCAGAGGCCCCAGCAACGAGTTTTAATGCATGTCGATGTCGTCGCCAGCGCCGCCGCAGATCAAAGGCAGCCAATGGAGGAACCAGTGCGACGCGGTGTAGGGCATAGGGATAGTGGAATGAGGGGAAGGGGAGGCAGGAGGGATCGTTTAATTGCACTTGCCGCTTTTTATCTGTGTCCATGTGTTGGTGCCGCTCTGCTTCCAGCTCTGCCCGCAGCTCCGGTTGTCAGTTAACCTGCGCATGTGTAGTTGCCTTTGATGTGTGCCTGGGTTGGGCTGGGGTTGGGCTATGGGCGCATTTGTTTATGCGCGAGCTATAAAAAACCATAAAATATGCATAAAACGCATAGGCAAAAAGGCAATTGCGACTGAAGCTGAACAGCAGGCAAACTTAATGGAAATGAATATGAAAATGGAACTAGAAATGAAAACTGAAAATGAAGCGATTAAGTGCAGACGTTGGCAATCGTCTGGAAATTGTCGTTGGGCAAATCAAGGAATTCAGTGGGTAGTGAACCAAGTCCAGATAAGAGGCTTTCCTGTGAAAAGTTGGATGTAGATATCAAGAAGCTGAATTCCATGTTGTGGCACAGAAGTTGGACAACCTGAAAGCGGGCACAAGAATACCAACAATATATATATAAGCATATATATTTAATGCATATATATTTCTTAAATGTTACCCATTCGCTTTTCCCCTTCGTCAGTTAGACAGGAAACTGGTAGAGTCAAACTCAATATATTTTTATTTAAGAAAACTAATTTATTTAAAATTTATTTATTTTTTTTCGTCGAGAAACAATTTCAAATTTATTTTAAGATTTTCATAAAATTTTTTAAAAATCTTGCTTAGATTTCTATAAGTATCTGATTAACTCGCATTATTCAATATGCTAAAGAATATTTGAAATATTTTCAAAGATTACTTGTTATTATATACTTCAATTTTCGGCTGCTCTGAAATACCTTGATTATCTAATTATATTATAACAGTCTGTTGGTAATTATAATATAACAAAGTTCTGCAAGTGCTTTTGGTAAGTTGGTGGGCTTCATGGAATCTCAACATTTCAGTTCATCTATATCAGATTCGCCATCTTAGACATTGCTCAGGGGAATGTAACTGCTTGGTTTTTTTTATGGCCATTTCATTTGCAGCTGAATGGAATTTGTGCTGGGGATTGCGGATATGGGATAGGGAATAGGGGGATTGTCTTGTACTCGTCACTTGGCACATTATATTGCTTTGCAGGCTGCAGCGCTCATAAAAAGTACATAAAAAACTGTTGAGCATTGCCGCATCGTGTGCTTTATGGGGACGCCAAGTGGGCAGCGAATGTACGGCAGTAAAATGTTCCAAGCGATACATGAGTTTTACGATAGAATTCCCAAACTCCGCGCCATAACTATTCAAGTGGAATTTTCGGTTGCACTATAAAATGGGGGCTCTATGAGAGCTATAAAATATTTATTCTACTAAAAAATAACTGTACATGAATATATACACAGATACACACAAATATAAATATAAATATATATATATATATGTATATATATAGATAAATATAAATACAAATAGATTTGGGTAAGGGCTTCACACGTTCAACAAACAAATGGGATTAACATATGCGGAGTGGCCAGAGACCAGCCAAAAGAGATCATTGAAAGTGGCAACTGGAGAGCCAAACATTCCACTGTCATGTCCTAAACAATATCATCGGCCACCTGTGACTCCTGCTCCAGTATGGTGCTCTCGCGCAGTTTGCTCTTCAGGTTCTTGCTGGAGTTTGCCTCGGTCAGGCAGGGCTCATGCTCGGCATGCTCATGACCGTCGACATCGGCATCGGCGGCTGCATGCGCCGCATCATCCAGCTGCACCTTGCCCATGTGGCGACGATAGCGATACCACAGTTTCAGGCCCAGTACGAGCACAAAGTAGAGAAATGCCAGGCAAATGATCACAATTATAATGCGCGTCACAATTGAGTTCGAGGCAGATTTATTGCTCCTGACCACCAGCAGCACCTCCTCCCGCTTGAACCCCGCACTGCTGCCAATGGTGCAACCATATCGTCCCTCATCCTCGGTCTGCACATTGTGTATCTCCAGCGTGCCGTTCTCCAGCAGACGAAAGCGTGCCGGATCTGTGTTGTTCTCGTTCAGATAGGCCAAATCCTTGTCCCACTGTATCGTTGGCTTCGGCTCTCCCGTAGCCTGACAGTGCATGACGGCGACATCCGCTTCGCTCACCTCAACGGGCCCCACGGGCGGCACACTGAACTTGGGCGCCACTACCACATTGATGGACACTGTGGCACTTATCTGACCCTGACTATTCGTTGCAAAGCAGGTATATTGACCCCGCTGCTCATTGGTAACACCGCGAAATATCAGCGTGCCATTGTGGTCCGTCACATTTGCCGGCAATGGCAATTGTGTTTCCTAGAGGAAGATGTGGAGGCTGTAGTTGGCTTAAACCTTCATCTATGCGTAGCCTCAGCACTTACCCGCATCCACTTGACTTGTGGCACCGGCGTGCCCTGCGCCTTGCAATGCACCTTGCTAACGCTGCCCAGTTCCAGATTTTTAGACGTCGGCTGCGGCATGAATTTTAACTGCTCGATCACCTCCAGTGTGCCGCTGCCCGAGCTGACCGCCGATTGGCCCTCCACAAGCAATTGGCATTGATAGACGCCCGCATCGCTGGCCAAAACGCTGGCAAAGTGCAGCGTGCCGGTCTCCTTGTTGAGCGTGAGACGCGCATCCTCCCTCAGCAATGTCTCCAGCTGCGGCTCGCTGGTGGTGCTGCTCGTCTGGCCCAGCTCCGCCAGGCGCAACGTTTTGCCATCTTTGCGCCAGCGCAACGTGACGCTGTTGCTCTGCCTGAGCAAATCCGGCAGCTGATAGGCGCACGGGATTTGGAGCACGCTCTGCTCCTTAACGGTCAGCCGCCCTTTGGGGCCCTGCGTAATGCTGACATCCGTTGGTGGCGCTGGCGATGCTGTAAGATACACAGTTAAGTTGTTGCAACATTCGGTGGCAAGCAATGTTGACTCACCGCGCAGGCAGCTGCAAGCGCAGAAGATCAGAGCGCAGCCCAGGAACAGACGTCTCACGTTTATCTGTGACTTCATCACGGCGCGACTTGAAGAATTTCTTTGATTTTGCGTTCGCCTTTTTCTTTCTTTTTTTTCGTTTAGTTCTCTTTTGAGGTTCGCAAAAAAAGAACAACAAAAATATAAAAAAAAACCGGTGTGCGGGCCTGCTCTTTATAATTTGTGTGGCAGGAATTTTTCTGTTTCCGCCCGTTTCGTTTTCAATTTTCCACAGCGCAGTTTCAGTTCATTTCACTGGCACAGTGGCGGCCAAACTGCCGCTTAATGTTTATTTTTATGTTACGCACACGCGTCACGCTTAATTATCCTGCTGCATAGTCCGTAACCGAGGGGCAGAGCACATATTCAGCCGACAACCTCATGCGTTCGCATTCAAAATTGAACTGACGCCGCGACGAGCTAATTTAAGGCTGGCCAGGCGGCACGAGCCGGTCGACGACGCATGCGTTTTGAACTGTGCCCAGTATTTGCCAGTATTATGACTACTACTACGCGGCGAATGGAACTCTGCGCAGCACCTACGTTTTTATCATATCGAAAAAAGTGTTCACACACCTTTTTTATTTTCTGTTTTCTTTTTTAAAACGTCAAATTTAATTCATTACGCAAATACTTCTTTATAATAATACTCAGTAATAATATTAATTTTGATAGGCTTCCTTCTACTTATTCAATTCCTTAATATTCGATATATTTTGATTATAACATGCTATATAAGTTAAAAAGAATCTATTGCTTATTTATCTAGAATTGAGGTATATTTGCTACACGACTATAAACAGATTGCCGTTTGGCCACTCGGAAGGGACATCGTGTCATCATTTTGTAGACAATGGCACTGCACAGCACAAAAAGGCCCCAAAACACATACGTGAAGAGCAGAATAAAGCGATTGGGGTGCCACAGGACCGTATAACTTAGATTATAATTTTCTGTAAAAGAAACAAATAAGTTGAGTGCTATCGCCTTTCTAGGTCGTCACACACTCACCTAGCACCGCATAGCCCATGCCAATCTTGGATTTACCCATGCGATACGAGCAGGTTGGCACCATAATCTCCAGGTAGCTGTGCTCCTGTTCCTTGAGCGCTTTCAGATCAAAATGCCGCACGGCATTCTCGTAAAAATTAATTACTTTTGTCGACGGGTATATAAATATGCGCGATTCGTGCCAGTGGCCAGAAAATATGATGTGTGGATCCAAATCGCTAATAACGGCGCGTAACAGCGGCCCACCGCCAATAAGCAGTGGTGCATGGGTGACTCCAATGCGTAGACGTTCGGCATTGTGCTCCTTATCTGGATTTGTGAAATCCAATAGCATGCGATTGATCTTGAAGAAACGTAAATGATTGTCATAGTCAAACAGATCCTCGCTCATAAAGTGATTTTCAAAGCGTCGCTGATTTGAGTTGGAAATGTAGTCGCCATTATCGCCGCCAATGTCGTTGTCACCCGGGACATGAACACGCTGAAAGTAGGCAGAAATCATGCGAAACTAAGTATATACATCGGTTGAGTAAGGAATAAATGCAGGCATTTGTTTACATACATTTGTTAGCTGCTTATTCCTATAGATACGCTTGAAGCGCTGCACATATTGCTTGTATTCCTGGGCGGTAGCTATGTTACCCTCGTCGAGCAAATCTCCCAGGAACACTATAATGTGTGGTTGTGTAAAGGAGACGGCACGCTCAAAAGATTTCTGTAGATAACGATCCAAGTCGTAACGCGCAAGCGGGCTGTGCGATGAACGATCGTAGGAGGTGCCTAAGATTTGTGGATCTGCAATAAGCAGCAGACGTGTGCAGTTTTCTACAAGATATCACGGAATAGATCATTCATTATTGTTGGTAAACCGTTTTAGAGATCTTACCCAACTTGCAATCGATTGAGTTCCAGCTGGACTGGGCTATATAGTAAATAAGTACTTCATTGAAAAACATGAGAAGCAGCGTCAGCACAACAAAGCCACGACAGACCAATCTGCAAGAGATTAGGTTACTGTTATACTCGTACGTATTTGTTGCAAGGCACTTGTCGTAGACATGTACTTACCTATTGACAACGCGCAAAGAAGCCATAATTATGCTGGGCGTTGGGCTTCTTTGCTTGATTAATTAGACGCTGCATATAATTCTAGCAGATTGTGGGGCATTCCGTGCAACATTGCGTTACCTGCGTTTGTCTATATTTAAAAATGTATATGCATAATTTACGTAAGTTTTGCGTTGAATATGTTTCTACTTGAGAGACGACACTGGCACCTCATGCAACCGACAACTGGTTCGCTTGCGTTGGGGGACTGACACACTCGGCGCTGTAGTGCCTAATTAAATTAAAGAGCATTAGAAGGGCTGTGGCTGATTATTAGAGCAACACAGCGAGTGCACTTACCACAGCCCAGCCGGTTGGATACTTTGTTGATTTCCACTTGGCGACTCTGGCAGCCATGCGCACCTATTGGTTGTCATGAGAGCGTGCTTTGATGGCCGTTTGAAATTTAAATACGAGCAACGCCGTTAGAGGCTGTGCCGTAAGCGCTAACGGTCGGTGCATTTAAACTTCGCATTATCATTCTCAGATCACACAGCTAAGAAAAACATTTGTATATAGCTTTCGTACAGCTGTTAATGAAAATACAGCATGTTAACGCAAAAAGGAGTAAACGAAGTATGTAAGCGCAAATTTGAGGCAAGCTATTGAAATGCAACTCGACCAGGCATAGTTGCTGGCCATCAGCCACATTTCACAACGTCTGGCCACACTGTGCGGTAGAGTAATGGCGTGCCATTCCGCACAAAAAGTGCGCTGTTGAAATTTTTCTTGCTGACAACAAACGCATCATAATTTACAGCTGAAATAATACAAATAATTGAAAATGACAACATAGTGTGCATAAAAAGTGTTTGTATGGTGTATTTTTGGATAAAACTAAGCGTGCTTGTGCTTTAAAAGTTCGGCATCGACTAATAGAGTTTGGCGATTTTTTTTACCGCTGGCTGCTGCTCTTAGATTGTGAAAAGTAAGACCAGCTCTGCGTAAAATTTGCAGCTGCAAAATGAATCTAATTTGCATGAAAAACTCTGAAAATGCCATACCAGTGTACGGCTTGCAAACAACTTTTCTTGTGCTATTTTGATATTAATGTGCAAAAAAACGTCCATTATTTGTGTCTCAAGTTGTTAGTAGTTTGCATGTATATATATATTTATATATATATATATATATATATATATATATATATGGGTTGTGTGTGTGTGTGGCATAAGCGAGTGGCTTGGCAATGCTGCCGCCCGCTGTAACCGTTGATTTGGCAATGCTGCCGCGCTGCTTTGGCGCTGCAGTGGCTTTTTTTTTATTTTATTTATTTTTTTTTTTTTTTTTTTTTTTTTTGTTTAGCAACTTGAGGGTCACGCTTGTGGTTGTTTTTGGCTCTTTAATACTTTGAATATATCTCTTCTATTATTATCGTAGGGAATGCACTTAGCACGCGTCGCTCTTGATTTTATTTTTGTCTTTTTTTGCCTTCATTGTTTACATTTACAGTTGCATATTGTCTACAGGGAAGCGTGCGCCGAGGGAGAGAGAGAACATTTAGCAGCACCTAACAATGGCGGACATTGTTTATCCCAACGGCTGTCGGCCGTTGGTTGAGGATCTGGGCACAGATGAGCTTATACGCCGCCTTAAGGTATGTGCCGATATAGTTGTATTTCTAATCAAATTAATCAACTAATGTTATTTCTCGCAGACACTGGCCAATGTCCTGCAGACAATGGATCAGGACGACAATTTGCATCAGCAGTATATACCTCTAGCCTTGCATCTACTCGATGATTTTTTTATGCAACATCAGTCGCGGGATGTCCAATTGCTGATTGCATGCTGCATAGCGGATGTGTTGCGTGTTTATGCGCCCGAAGCGCCCTACAAGGAACAGGATCAAATTAAAGCGATTTTTAAGTTTTTCATCAAGCAACTCCATGGTCTGAAGGATCCGCGTGATCCCTCGTTCAAGCGTTATTTTTACTTGCTAGAAAACCTGGCCTTTGTCAAGTCATTTAACATGTGCTTCGAGCTGGAGGACTGTCAGGAAATATTTCATGAACTCTTTAGCACCGTTTTTAAAATCATCAAGTACGGTTTGCATTATTGCGATTTTAATAATTATTTTGACACAAATCTTTATGTTTGTAGTGATCAGCACAGCGTGAAAGTGAAGAACTTTTTCCTTGATGTGCTAAGTCCGCTGATAACCGAGGCAGATAATTTGTCTGTCGAGCTCTTGGATCTTATACTTATCAACATTGTGGAGCCGAACAAGTCGACTAACAAGTATGCACACGAGCTAACGGAGCAGCTTTTGGTCAAAACGGGCGATGCCTTCGAAGCAACCATCAAATTGGTATTTATTATCAGATCTACAAATTAAGTTTTTATAATATGGCTTTTTTTAACTTAGTTCTTCAATCGTTCGTTGGTCATGGACAAGCCGAATAACAAGCTTGCCATCACGAGCAAGATTTATGATATAATCTATGAGCTTAACCAAATCAACAGTGATCTGCTGGTTTCGGTGCTGCCGCAACTGGAAAATAAGCTTCTCTCCACCGACGATGCCGAGCGATTGAGTAAGTGCTGCTGTATATGCATATAGTTATACTTTGTATTTATTTTAGTTTGTTATTTCGTCAATCCATATGAAAATCTCCTGGTTCATATTTGCCAATGATGTGACCTTGTTCTTTAAGTTTTTATCAGTTCTCACATTTGCTTGATATTTATGGAATTAATAATTATTCTTTTGTCTTCTTTGAATAGTTTTTATCAGTTCTCACATTTGCTTAATATTTATGGAATTACTAATTATTCTTTTGTCTTCTTTGAATAGGAGCCACAACATTGCTGGCACGCATGTTCTCCGAGAAGGACTCACAATTGTCAAAGAAGTATCCATCGCTTTTGCGAACGTTTTTTGGTCGATTTTGTGACATTACTGAGCCTGTGCGCGTCAAATGCGTTCAATCTTCAATGCATTTTCTACTCAATCATCCGCACCTGCAGTCAGAAATAACCGAAAAGCTTCGCATGCGTCATCACGATCTGGACGAACTGGTGCGCCATGAGGTTGTGATGGCCATTGTGGAAACAGGCAAACGAAATTTTGACATTGTTGTCAAATCGCCGGAACTATTAGAAATTGTGCGCGAACGCACAATGGACAAGAAATACAAAATACGTCGTGATGCTATGAACGGACTGGGCTATATCTACAAACGCGCAATTTGCGAGCCAAACGACTTAAGTTCAGAGGTGAAACAGCAGGTGGATTGGATAAAGAACAAAATCATGCATGGCTACTATAAGCTTTGCCTGGAGGACAAACTGATGGTGGAACGGCTGCTCATCACCTGTCTGGTGCCGTATAAACTGGCGCCTGAGGAGCGAATGAAGAAGCTATATCATTTGTTGGGTGATTTGGATACAAATGCGACCAAGGCGTTTGTCGAGCTGCAAAAAAATCAGATGAAATCACGCCACACGGTTAGCGATTGGATAAAGTTGCATCACTCCAAGGAATTTACACCACGCGTGCTCAGCCAATTGGCCGCCAAACAGGCCAATATTGCCAAGTAAGATCGGACGTCTACAGATTTATTGGATGAACTTTCAATAACATATTAAATCTATGTTTTAGATTGCTGCCGGATCCGTTGAAGGCTAGTGAGTTTATCACACAGTTCAGTCAACATCTGCGCAAGGATGCGCAGCTGCTGCGCTGCATAAACATTGTTCTCAAACGCGATGTCAGTTGTCGCGAGTGCGCCGACACAATGAGCGTGCTGCTCAAGAAACTAGGCGCTCATGTTATGACTAATCTTTATTATAACACAGTCAAGATGCTCATCGAACGAGTGGCGTCCGTTATGGTGGACAAGGAGTCAATTGGAGTGCTGATCGGGTAAGTCGCCTAATAAGTAACGAACATGCGTACCCACACTTATCGTCTCAAATCGAAAGCCCAATTCCTTCATTAATTGTTCTGTCTTATGCAGCTTGATCGAGCAGTGCATTCAGGGCGGTCAAATTTGCAACGAAATTGGAATATCATCAGACGAAGCAGGCGAACGCGGCCTAAAGTTGTTAAGCGTAAGTGGAATGCGAATTGTAGCAATCTAAAGCGTACTACCAACATTTTTTTCGGTTTATTTTGCAGATGCTATCGTATGTCTTTTCGGCTCATTTCTTTACGGATACCTCACTGCGACATCTAATTGCTCTACTAAGTTATGAGTACGAATATGTGGCACCGTTGGTGCTGAAAACGCTGACGCATTTAGGTCGCTATCAGCCGCTTATCGACGATGCCAATCCGGCTATACTGAACGAACTGGCGCCCATCTGCAAGGACTTTGCGCTGATGGGTACGCCCAAGCAGGCAAAACATGCGGTACGCTGTATATTTGTCAATAGTCAATCATCATCGACGGCCACGACGGATGGCGGCGGCAGTGCCTCAACTACAACCCAAACGGTTCATCCCATTTTCAATGAGATCATTGAGGAACTGAGGGTTAAACTGGCGCCCAATTGTGAATTTCAACGCACCAAGATTGTCACATTGGGGCACATCGCGCTCAACATGCCGCAGGCATTCCTAACACCAATTAAGAACATGATTGCCCGTCGAATTGTCAAGGAGCTTCTCATACAAGAAGTTCCGGCGCAACGCGAACATGAACTGCCCGAAAGTGATTGGTGCGAGCAGGATGAACTGCCGCCCGATACACTCTGCAAGCTGGATGCTCTTAAGACAATGGCGCGTTGGCTACTTGGCTTACGTTCGGATGAGCATGCAGCACAAAAAACCTTCCGCATGCTTGCAGCCTTTGTTAATCAACGCGGCGATTTGCTTGCCCAGAATCGACTATGTGGTGCCGAGAAGTCCTGGTTGCGTCTTGGCGCAGCCTGCGCAATGCTCAAGGTGTGTGAACAGAAGGGTGTTGGCGATCAATATAGTGCCGAGCAGTATTTACAGCTTTCCCAACTTATGGTGAGTACATATAGCAAATTACACGATTATACGTTGAATTGTGCATCTCAATGCAGGAGGATCCGGTGCTGGAAGTGCGTGAAATATTTGCTCGAAAATTACATAAGGGCTTGGGCAGGAGTCTACCGCGCAATTGCTTGCCCTTGGACTTTATGGGTTACTATGTGCTTAGCGGCAAGGAGACCAATAGAAAGTACGTAGTCAATATGAATGTAATTCCAATTACTATCTACCTTTATTATTATTACACGCAGATTGCAAGACCAGGTGCGACATTATGTGGAAGCGGATGTGAATAAACGACGGGAATATCTTAAGACTGTGGCCATGACGTGTGAGTTGTAGTGAATACCGTCGCAAGGAAATGTAAACGAAATACTTTTATATTATATAGCACCGGACAGTTCTACGGAATCGCAATCGCTGCATATTTTACCTGACTACATGCTGGCCTTTGCCATACCGGTGCTGGTGCACGATCCCAGCTTCACGAGCCACGAGGACTATGTGCAGCTGCGCAAGATGGAGAAGTGCTTGCGTTTCATACTGGAACCGCTGATGGCGAAACGCGAGTCATTTGTCTATGGCTTCTACAAACAGTTGCTGCAGCTGATCAAACAGCGCGAGTATAGCCAGAGCACGGACAAGGATAGAATGCAAAACAACTATGTATGTATTTATTATTATATTGCAACAACTGTGGCAACACTTTTAATTTTCCTTCTGTTTAAATAGAAAATGTGGGCGCTCTGTGATCTCGCCATGCACATAATCGATGCTAAAGTTGGTCAATGTGATGGCAATTCGAGCGCATTTTCAATGCCACTGGCGCTGCCTGAAATGTACTATAAACTGCCCGCCGTTGCAAATTTCCAGAATAATGAAATCTATATACCGTTGGACGTATACACCCTGGGCGCCAAGACAAGTAAAGCCTCTGCGACGACGACAACGGCTACGTCACATGCAACTGCTGCTGGTTCTAAACGGGCTGCAGCGTTGGCAATTATGGATGATGACAATTCACAGGTAAATTGACACGGCTTTCGAATTACAATCTGTTTGTAATTATTTTAAAATTATTTTTAGGAGAACAATCTTTTTGATAACATACGTGCCGCAGACACAACGGAGCCAATGACTAAGCGAACGCGCGGCGGTGCCGCAGCGCCCGCCAAATCGTAGAGAAGAATGCGGCTACTTGTTAGTTTAGTGTTAGTCTAGGCCCTAAGTTAACTAAATATTTAAGACGTAGATGGGTACTACGATTAGAACACACACACAAACAAACAAACAAACAAACACACACGGACCAACAAGAATCCCTCAACCGACAGACAATTGCATCCTTGAAATTATTGTAACCTCTGTTGTGTGTGGATGGATGTAAGAAACAGACCAACCAATATGGCAACATAAAAATCTCTGATAGTGTCGCCTAATTTGTTAATTTTAGTTGTAATTATGAAAGAGCATAGTTTTACCTCTATTAATATTATTCTATTATATATTTTAATTGTGTACTGTTTCGTATTATGCTCCTTTCGGCTTGTTTCATTTTTAACCTTTTCCACTATTTTGAAAGAAATTATTTTTAGATACATAACGCAAATTTATCGAATAAAAACTAAATAAAAGAAGTTAGAATGCGAATTAGTTAAAAAGTATGCCCCGACGTAAAGTAACAAAGCCTTATTAAGAAATTAATATTAACTTTTCTATGAACGCAGTTAAAATTTAGTTAATATAAAATGCGTGATTAATCATAATATACTTTATAAAACATAAAAACATACATATTCATAAAATACAGAGAATGCATTCAAAATGTATTGAAACAATTGAAGAACATTGTTGTAAGCGTATTGAAATAACATTAATATTTGGAGAAAAAGAAAAGAAAAACAAAACACAAATTGTATATTTAACTATTATTACTGTTTTTCAAATACAAATAATTATTTTAAAAAAAGTAATTATAAATAAAATGGTCCAAAAAAAATTTAAATGTATGAGCTACGCGCGCAACAAATCTAAAATACTACGGTAACACTGCGCTACGGGGTGTTGCCACTATGCGCACGCAGCTTGGCAACGCTTCAATTGCATTTGTATTGGCAGCGGGGGTGCGTCGTCTGTGTTTGTTTTTCTTTTTTATTTTTGGCAAAATTAAATTAAATTGTATAAAAAGTGAATAAATGTGCGTATAAAAAAACTTACAAAGGGCAGTACCATAAAGTGAAGGACTTACTATGCAGCCAGCATTGGTCATGCAGTCGCTGCAAGAAACGCAGTCATTTTTAGCTGAGTGTGACGTCACACGGCAGCGAACCGACGTCAAGTCAGGCACAGGCCCATCCGCTGCTATCAGTATGGAAACCAACGTGCAGCCGAACAGGCAGCAGCAGCGCATATACACCTCAACCCCCATAAACGAATTCAAAAAGCAACACAAATCGCAGCAGCGCAACGACGCCATTGGTTTTTTGGATTTGGCCAAAGCAACAACAAAACGTTACATTCGCGTGGGCGGTGGCGGTGCTGCTAGTGTCAAGGGGCAGGAGCCGACCTTTGATGTGCGCCTGAAAGCTCTAATTTTGTTATTTGGCATTATAATTATCGGGTACAGAATCATCACTTTAACAAGTGAGTACATTCATGCAGCATTCATCAAGGCTGCACTTGTGTTTTTGTTTTGTTGTTGTTTACAAAGTGGCTTAAAAATAGCAGAATGCGCATATGTAGATATGTACTTATATACAGGCAATGGCAAATTGTATGATCTCATGCCCATTTTCATTCTCATTGCTTTTGTGTTTCACCTTCGTAGTGCGCCTTTCCAGCGCTCTACTCAGGCACTCAAACAACCCTCCGCCTCATCCCCCCCCCCCCCCCCCCTTCTCCTTAAAATGCGCTAAGCATCTAAATAAAGACTCACCAATTGACTGTTGCGCATTTTGTTAGTAGTGAACAGCAAATTCTCATTTGCATACGCAAGGCTGAAAGCCAACGGCGATATTTCACTAATTGCTCAAAATCGTCTTTTGGGCTTTGTTTACATATACCTATACCTTTGCATATGCATACATATACATAGCTAAGTATGTGTTAGCTACATACAAACATGTCAAGTTCTTTTTAGTATTGTGAGTGACTTAACGGTATTTTGAACTCAGCCGCGTCACGCGACCGAACTCGCACAGTGGAAGAGGTTTGGATTGCATTGACGTAAAATTGAATTTATTTATAGCAGTAATACCTTTTTAATTATATTGATCAATCATAATAATGAATGTTTCTTATCTTAGCGCAACAGTATTTCTTTTCATAATCTTGAGCTTTTTCATAAATTGAGTTACTTTATATATTTATTATGATGTTCCACTGTGCAGTACTTGAGTAGGCGTCAGAACTGGTCGAGCTAAGAGTTTTCCTCAATGTTTGCTGCCTGCTTTGGCAATTGGCGAGTTTTTTTCTTGTTAGCGGACGACATGCCGCGTTTATCGTGCTGCCGATAAAAGGCAATATCAAATCGCTGACCTTGACGAGCGTGTCTATTAATAACTTATTTCCAATTGCCGCCCACAGTGCCCTACATCAACGGCAGCAACGTACAGCAGCTGAGCAGCTATGTGCAGGCACAGCTGAGCGCTGCCTTGGACTGGTCGGAGCAGCACCAAATGCGTTCCAAGCTGAACCCACTGCTGTGGGGCCTTATTGTGTCTGTTTTTTGCTATGCCATTGTTTACTTGGACAGCGCTGTGCCAGGCGTTGTTCCTCCAGCGCCCTTCTCGTCTCGCTCTAAGCAGCGGTAAGTCCAAGCGGCGGAAGCAGCTAAATAAATATACTTAGCACTTGGGGTTTTCTAACGAACTTTGCCTTTGCAGATCTCGTCTAAGGAGCTCAGCTGTGCAGCTGAACTATTGGTGCGCGCTGGGCGCGGGAATTATGGTTACGTTTCTTATGTATGTGGATGTGTAATTGCACGTTGCAGTTACACAGAGAATTTCCTTAAGTCAAATATGGCAGCAGTATTAGCATATAACTCAGTTCCGATTTAACAATCGTAAACTCACCCTTTCCACAAATGAGGGATTAATTAATTTTTTTTATATATATATATATATTTATATATTTGTAACTGTGCAATGCTCCTAAAGCAAAACCTAACAGCGTTGTATTTAAATACGAATTTTGTAGAAGCTAAAGAAGCTAAACGGCCAACTAAAAGGCGCGTTTAAATCTGTCAACTTATCAGCTAAGTAAATAAATTAAATTAAATGAATTATATTATGCTAATAATATTAATATACGCAAAAGTGTAAAACCCATGTGAGAGTACAAAATGAAAAATGTGTAAAACAAATTCTGTTTATAGATTAGTATAGCAGATTAAATAGTTACGAGTACTAACTAAAACTCAATTTGAATTGTTTTGCCATTCAAAAACTATAAAGTAAGACTTAAATTGTGTATTAAAAGAACTAACTAAGAACTACTATTAGAATGTTGCATTAATATATATGAATTCACGTTCTCTATGCGCGTAAAGTTCTGTTGCCAATCGGCGATGCTTACCTGCGAAACGCTGAAGGTATTCAAACGGTTCTCGCCTATGAAACGGCCCACAACATGCACATAACAGCCTATGGCATAAATGAATATTAGGATATGGGCGTTAAGTATATTACAAATGCTTACCAATTGTCAAGTATTTTAGTTCATCTTCAAAATCATAGAAAATGGCCTGCAATATTGGGCCCTTACCCTCGTTGCGCAGCAGCAGTGTTCGGTCGCCGCGCTTGCCCTCAATAACGCGCAAAAGCTTACCTGTTGAACATTTAAAAAACGCTATATAGACTGAAAAAGGTTTACTTATTAACAGCCTACCATAGACACTCCAAAGTGCATTCAAATGCGGCTGCTGCCGGTGCATTTTAATGCAAAAGTCCACACGTCCAATTAAGCTCAATAAATTGCGACCCGGCTTGGACATTGGTGAAGTTGGCAACGCTGCCGACGGCTCAACTTTAGGCATTGGATGTGCGCCGTTTTGGGCACGGCCAAAAGTTTTATTGAGCCCTTTCGGAGCTGGCATGTAGACAAACTCGTGCTTGGGCTTAACTTTCAGTGGTTCTTCAACAAATCCGGAAAATATAAGCTTGTTGTCTTTTTGGCAAAGGCTCAATTTGGTTTGCTTCAGTTGACTTCCAGTTTTTCGCAGCAATCCAGAGGCAGTTTCAAAACTGCGATTGACAAACAACTGACCGTTTGCCATTAGCTCGGCTTTGAATTTTTGCTGGGTGTTGGTGGCCAGGCTGTTGCTTTTTTTGGCTGCACGCAAGTTACATTAAATATAATCACGACACAATCTTCTTTTTACTTACTTTTATGGGTGAACATGTTGCATTGGAAAAATGACAGTTACACAGTAAACACAGTAGACTTTGGCGCCAAGGTGACCGTATTTATTGTTACAGGTTCTAATGTTAATATTTTATGCATCCCTGGAATGCATGTTTTGGTATTTTTTCGATTAGTTTACGTACGGCTGCACTTGTAAAAATCGATTTAATATTATCGCAGTGACGAAGTATCGACACTCTCCACGCGAGTTTATTTTCATTTCAATGTATAAAAATTTTGTAAATAGCGCTCTTTAAATTAACTAAACATTGGTATTAAACAACTAACGTAGCGGCGATGAGTACAATTCTGGAAAAAATTGCGGCCATTGAGTCGGAGGTGAGTGGACGAATCCCAATAAAAAATATGCCAACGCAAAACTAACCTGTCTCCAACTTTATTCCCTTCTAAATGTATGTATGTATATGTAGATGGCACGCACGCAAAAGAACAAGGCAACGTCTGCCCATTTGGGTCTACTGAAAGCCAAGCTGGCCAAGCTGCGCCGTGAGCTTATCTCGCCAAAGGGCGGTGGCGGTGGCACGGGTGAAGGTAAGCTGAGCCTCGAATTGAGATAAAACGCAGCTTAAATCGTTAATTTGCAGCCGGCTTTGAGGTGGCCAAGACGGGTGATGCGCGGGTGGGCTTCGTCGGCTTCCCCTCGGTGGGCAAGTCGACGTTGCTATCGAATTTGGCTGGTGTTTACTCTGAGGTGGCGGCCTACGAGTTCACAACGCTTACCACTGTGCCGGGCTGTATTAAGTACAAGGGTGCTAAGATCCAGTTGCTCGATTTGCCTGGAATCATTGAGGGTGCAAAGGACGGAAAAGGTCGCGGTCGTCAGGTGATTGCTGTGGCGCGCACCTGCAATTTGATCTTCATGGTTTTGGACTGTCTCAAGCCACTGGGCCATAAGAAATTGCTAGAGCATGAATTGGAGGGCTTTGGCATACGTTTGAACAAGAAACCGCCAAATATTTACTACAAGCGCAAGGATAAGGGTGGCATTAATCTCAATAGCATGGTGCCCCAATCTGAGCTGGACACCGATCTGGTCAAGACTATATTGTCGGAATATAAGATACACAATGCGGACATAACGCTACGTTATGATGCTACTAGCGACGATCTGATCGATGTTATTGAGGGTAACCGCATTTACATACCGTGCATCTATCTGCTGAACAAGATTGATCAGATTTCCATCGAGGAGCTGGATGTCATCTACAAGATACCGCATTGTGTGCCTATATCAGCGCATCATCACTGGAACTTTGATGATCTGCTGGAGTTGATGTGGGAATACTTAAGACTGGTTCGAATCTATACCAAGCCCAAGGGGCAGCTGCCCGACTACAGTTCGCCGGTGGTGCTGCATAATGAACGCACAAGCATCGAAGACTTTTGTAATAAGCTGCATCGGTCTATTGCCAAGGAGTTTAAATAGTAAGTTAATCGATTTTTGCAATTACTTTGAGCCTAAATGTTTTCTATAATCTTTTACAGTGCGCTGGTCTGGGGATCTTCTGTGAAGCATCAACCGCAAAAGGTGGGCATTGAGCATATACTCAATGACGAAGATGTGGTGCAAATTGTGAAAAAGGTCTAAGGCCTGTTAATACATATATATATTCTTTGGATTTTAATTGTGTTTGCATTTTTTTGAAATAAAAACGCGAATTGCGCTGACAATTAGGCAGCGTTGCCACCTGAGCTTATGTCTTTTTGAATTAGGCGCCCAATATTTGAGTTAGGCCACTATCGATAGCGCCAATAAACTATCGATATAACTTTCTGATATGGCCATGCATGTTGGTCCGCCACTAACCACGCGTTGTTATTGTTAACAATTGAGTAAATCTTTATAAATGGTCGAACTAAAAAAATCGGATGCCCTTTCAGAGGACAACACTTGGGAGCCCGGCGACAGCAAGGAGTGGGCCAAGCCAATCAAGCCACTGCAAGAGAAATGGAAACTAGTGCCGGCTTTTTTGCAGGTGAAAGGCTTGGTTAAACAGCATATCGATTCGTTCAATCACTTTATTAATGTGGACATAAAGAAAATCGTTCGTGCCAACGAAATTGTGACCAGCGGCGCAGATCCACTCTTCTACCTGAAGTATCTGGACGTGCGCGTGGGCAAGCCAGATATTGACGATGGCTTTAACATAACCAAAGCGACCACGCCGCACGAGTGCCGGCTGCGAGACACCACCTACTCGGCGCCCATCAGTGTGGACATTGAGTACACACGCGGCACGCAGCGTATTAAGCGCAACAATTTGCTCATTGGACGCATGCCCCTAATGCTGAGATGCTCCAATTGTGTGCTTACCGGCAAATCCGAATTCGAGCTGTCCAAGTTGAACGAATGCCCGCTTGATCCTGGCGGCTATTTTGTGGTGCGTGGCCAGGAGAAAGTCATTCTCATACAGGAGCAGCTGTCGTGGAATAAAATGCTAACCGAGGACTTTAACGGGGTCGTACAGTGCCAGGTCACCTCGTCAACGCATGAGAAGAAATCGCGCACGCTGGTTCTGAGCAAGCATGGAAAATATTATCTGAAGCACAACTCAATGACCGACGACATACCCATTGTGGTCATCTTCAAGGCTTTGGGCGTAGTTTCCGATCAGGAGATAATGTCTCACATTGGCCTAGATGCGCGTTCACAGAATCGCTTTGGAGCCTCCCTCTTGGAAGCCTTCAATCTGAAGGTCTTCACACAGCAGCGTGCCCTGGACTACATGGGTGAGTTGCACTAATGCACAGCTAAAATATGTATATACTAAAATCATGTTCTTTATCGTGTTTTCATAGGTTCCAAGCTGGTGGTGAAGCGTTTCCAGAGCGCCACCAACAAAACACCTTCGGAGGAGGCCCGTGAGCTGCTTTTGACCACGATTCTGGCTCACGTGCCCGTCGACAATTTCAACTTTCAAATGAAGGCGATTTATGTATCGCTAATGGTTCGTCGAGTGATGGCCGCAGAGCTAGACAAAACGCTTTTCGATGATCGCGACTATTATGGCAATAAACGATTGGAGCTGGCCGGATCGTTGATTTCGTTAATGTTTGAGGATCTGTTCAAGCGCATGAACTGGGAGCTAAAGATGATAGCGGACAAGAATATACCCAAGGTGAAGGCGGCACAGTTTGATGTGGTCAAGCATATGAGAGCGGCACAGATCACCGTTGGCCTCGAGTCCGCGATTAGTTCTGGAAATTGGACGATCAAACGTTTTAAAATGGAACGCGCTGGCGTTACCCAAGTGCTATCGCGGCTCAGCTACATTTCGGCGCTGGGCATGATGACACGTGTGAACTCCCAGTTTGAGAAGACGCGCAAGGTGTCCGGACCGCGTTCACTGCAGCCGAGTCAATGGGGCATGCTGTGCCCCTCGGATACGCCCGAGGGCGAGGCTTGCGGCCTGGTTAAGAATCTGGCGCTAATGACGCACATAACGACCGAAGTGGACGAACGCCCAGTGATGACATTGGCCTACAATGCCGGCGTCGAGGATATACGCGAAGTCAGCGGCAATCCCATCAATAATCCGCACGTTTTTCTTGTCTTCATCAATGGCAACGTTCTGGGCCTGACAATTAATCATCGGCACCTGGTGCACAATTTGCGCTATATGCGCCGCAAGGGACGCATGGGCAGCTTCGTCTCCATACACACCTCCTACACGCAGCGCTGCATCTTCATACATACGGACGGTGGGCGCTTGTGCCGTCCATATATTATAGTCGAGAAATCGCGTCCCCTGGTGCAGCAGCGTCATCTGGATGAACTGTTGCGCGGCGTACGTAAATTTGACGACTTTCTACATGACGGACTGATTGAGTACTTGGATGTGAATGAGGAGAACGATTCGTTTATTGCCTGGAACGAAGAGCACATTGAGCCGCACACAACGCATCTGGAAATTGAGCCCTTCACATTGCTAGGCGTCTGTGCTGGTCTGGTGCCGTATCCGCATCACAATCAGAGCCCCCGCAACACCTATCAATGTGCCATGGGTAAACAAGCCATGGGCATGATTGGCTACAATCAAAAGAATCGCATCGATTCCCTCATGTACAACTTGGTCTATCCGCAGGCCCCAATGGTCAAATCACGCACAATTGAGTTGACCAACTTTGACAAGCTACCTGCTGGGCAAAATGCCACGGTGGCTGTAATGAGCTACTCCGGCTATGATATTGAGGATGCACTCATCTTAAACAAGGCATCGATTGATCGCGGCTACGGGCGTTGTCTGGTCTATAAGAACTCCAAGTGCACTGTAAAGCGTTATGCGAATCAGACATTTGACAGGATTATGGGGCCGGTTAAGGATGCGCTGACCAACAAGGTAATCTTTAAGCATGATGTGCTGGACACGGATGGCATTGTTGCACCTGGCGAACAGGTGCTAAACAAACAAATTATGATTAATAAGGAAATGCCAGCGGTGACATCCATCAATCCACTCGAAGGTCAGTGCCAAAATATATGTGTTAACTCCTAATATATACTACTTTGTACACTTTGCCTTTAGGTCAATCTACCCAGGTACCCTACACTGCTGTCCCCATTAGCTACAAGGGACCTGAACCCAGTTATATTGAGCGTGTGATGGTCTCGGCCAACGCTGAGGAGGACTTCCTTATCAAAATTTTGCTGCGCCAAACGCGCATACCGGAGATTGGCGATAAGTTCAGCTCGCGGCATGGACAGAAGGGTGTTACGGGACTCATTGTGGATCAGGAGGACATGCCCTTTAATGACTATGGCATATGTCCGGACATGATCATGAACCCGCATGGTTTTCCCTCACGTATGACAGTGGGCAAGACACTGGAGCTCCTAGGCGGCAAGGCTGGCGTCCTGGAGGGCAAATTTCATTATGGCACAGCTTTTGGCGGCTCTAAGGCGGCGGATGTGCAGGCGGAGCTGGTGCGTCATGGATTCAACTATATGGGCAAGGACTTTTTCTACTCGGGCATAACGGGTGCACCACTAGAGGCTTACATTTACTCGGGCCCGGTGTACTATCAGAAGCTGAAGCACATGGTGCAGGACAAGATGCATGCCAGAGCACGTGGCCCAAAGGCTGTGCTCACTCGCCAGCCCACCCAGGGTCGCAGTCGTGAGGGCGGCCTGCGCCTGGGCGAAATGGAGCGCGATTGCCTTATATCTTATGGAGCGAGCATGCTAATAATGGAACGCCTCATGATATCATCCGACGCATTTGAGGTAGATGTATGCCGTACCTGCGGCAGACTGGCCTACTGCTCCTGGTGCCATTTCTGTCAGTCGTCGGCGCACGTCTCCAAGATATCCATGCCGTATGCCTGCAAACTGCTTTTCCAGGAGCTCACCAGCATGAATGTGGTACCCAAACTAATACTGGAGAACTACTAGTAAACGCTTTTAAAGATTAGATATATGTATATGACTGGAGGCAAGAGAATAAACTGTATGTTTATGTTTGTAATCTGATACTGTGAAACTACGCTAAGTTCAATGAACGTGTGGGGTCGCGGTCTACGTGACCCGCTCACCCACCACCATTCAATGAGCACCCCACCAACCAAATGACGCCCTGATAAATGTTATGGGCTAAAACTTTGGCAACGTCTGCTTTTAAATTCCTATTTAGAGCCGCCATCAGCCACGCCCAACCAGCGCCCAGTCGTCCTGCTTCACTTTCACAGCATTTGCGTAAATTTTAACATATTCATGAAGCTACCAGCGAATGTCAATGTGAAGTGGCAGAGAGGCACGCGTAAGGCAAAGCTCCACTGTTAAATAGCAGACGCGTGCTTATTAACATGAGGGGTAAATGTTAAGAGCGTATTCGAAGCGCTGTTAATTGGCGGGCTAGCCAAAGACGGCTTAAGCCGTCTTCCTGCTTAATTGTATCTTAATAGGGGGCGTCAGGCTTATCAAATTGCTGATTAACCTTGTTTCGCTTGTGCGCCCTTTGTGTAAACACAAAAGTTATGGCCAGGCAGTGAGCGTGGGACAGTTAAATTGGGCGCTGTCTTTGCATATATATACCTCGTGATTTGGTTTTGGGAAGAGTTTATAGGAATTTTGACAGATATTGAACACTAAAAATCAGTCGAAACACTTCGATTAGATTATTTAATTTCTGGAAGTTATATTTTCTATATATTCAAAACGTTAATGGATAACAAACTATGGTTCCTTAATCCACACCTGACAAAGCTTGGAAGCGGTTTTCTAATATAAATAATAATTGGTTTTTAAATAAACAACGTACAGGGTATTAAGTTAACAGCATTTGTGGCCATTCTTTCTCTGAGACTTGTTGATTATCAATTAGTATAGAGAAATAAATATTGTAGCATATACAAAGCAATTCCGTTGCCTGATTTATTCTCAGCCTTCTCGAGTTTTCTATTTATGTCTCACCAAAAAGAGGACGGTTTGAGCCTTGTTTACATTTAAAAAATGCTGTGTTAAGTTTTTTCTTTTTAATTCTAGTGGGAACTTTCGAGTGGCTGCCGCGTCTTTGAGGCTATTCATAAAGCCATTTTGGCCAAGTTTGCTGGCGTACTGGGTCAATGCACTGGCACACGCACGTGACTCGGCAACTGGCAACTGGCAACACCTATAAGGCGATGTCCTTGTATGTCATTTCAAGTCACTTGAGCTCAACGCCCAACCGCCCAACCGCCCAACCGCCCAACTGCACATGCGGCAGTCGACGCTGCTGCTGCAAGTGCAATGACAGCAAACGGGGCAAAGGCACACTGTCCACAGCCAATGAGGCACAATAACGATAAGACTGCTCAACCAACTGGCTACCTTCCGGCTGGGAGTGGGTACGGGGATGAGGCAAGGGCTTGGGCTTGGCATTCATGCCTTTTGGCTATTTGTCAAAAAGTTTACTTTTCATTCTATAGCATATATGCCCCCCACCCACACACACACACACACCTACACATAGATGATATTGATGTAAACGTCATAGATTCAAATGGGTGTTGGCCAGTTGAGCAAAGCGTTGTTTAAGTGCTGTTTAACTTAGCTCAGGCAGGATAGTCAGGGATACAAAGGTCTACCCAAAGGCATTGACTGGCAACAACTTTGTTGGCTCATGGCTGATCCATATTAAACTAACTTAGCAACTAGTTTTAAAATGTGATTGTTTTTCCGTTGGGCCTTAAAGCACAATAATGCCCATAAACTTTTAGGCCGAATTTCTAGCAAAATCATAGAAGCACCTGTGTTAGTTAACAGAGTTATGTTAAAGGACCAGCCAAAGAGCGAGACACAGTTTTACATTTTGAGCGCTATTTGCAAGCTTTGATTTGATTTTCCTCTCTGCTCTCGTCGGTAATTTCATCAACAGTGCTGAGTACTGCAAAGTTTTCTGCTCCCAGTTAGTAAACTCAAGAATAATTTGAATAAATGTTTCAAAATAAATAAATTATTTACTTCAAATAAATAATACAAAACTTAGGCCTTTTTAATGCTGTATTTATATCTTGTCACACTAAGAGTTTTATTCAGTTTTCCAGCTAGAGCCGAAGTTAACCGTTCACAAGCTGGCATCACTGCCATTTACCATTGCTTGCTTTTTACTCTCTTTTGCTCCACAGCTATAAAAGCCAGCGTCAGAGTTAAAGAGAGTTCAGTTGAAACCGGCGCTCGCTCGCGTTTTTGCCATTTGCACGTAAAGCTCGGGCTGCGCTTAAATTATAAATGGAAAGCTGAAAAAAAAAACATTTTGAGCGCAGTTTGCACAAATAAATAATTGCTGTCAGTTTATTGTATGTGCAAAAAGTTGCAAACAAATTATACTAAATTATTTAAGTGTAGCAAATCAAACAAATGCTGCGCAGTGTTGCAAATGTGCCATTAACTGTTTAAAAGAGTTTTGAAAATTATTTACTTCATCGTATAGATTACAATTAATTATAATCAAAATGCCCAACGCTACGGAGATAACAACAAATGACTCCAAAAAGCCATTCAAAGTAAGTTTATTAAATGTTTTTATTTCAATAAAAGGCTGCCGCATTGAAGCTTCAATGCACTGCCATGCCCTTTTTGGGCGTTGTGTCGCAGTTGTTGTTGTAGCTGTTATCGTTTATAACCGCGTGCTATGTTTCGCATTTGCGCTATTTAAAAATTCCCACATAAAAACTGGGTGAACTTCAAGTTGCTGTGAGTGAGGCAAAAGAGAGTAAAAGCTCTGTTAACTTTTGTTTATTTGTGAGAGCACAAGAGAGCTAGTGTGGGAGAGAGGGTGAGAGAGCGAAAACAAAAAAAAGAGCACAACAATTGCTTTGACTTTGCAAATGCAAAATACTTGACATGAATTTTGGGGTTCAGCTTTTGTTGTGCCTTTTTGTTTTGTTTTTATTTTTTAGTTTCTGAGCGCTTGGGAACTGTTTGTCTTTGGCATTTGTTTGTTTGCCAGCAGCGCCTTTGTTGTCAACTAATTTGTTTAGCCGCTGTCTAAATAACTCGAAGCCGTTTAAAGAACGTTTTGCCTTTATTTATCGTGGACAGAGCCCGGCTTAAAGCAAAGTAAATCCATGCTGCAGCCGCAAAAAGAAATTTCCTCTTTCGTCCTTTGACAAATGTTTCGCAACTTTCCTGTGGCCGCTTTGTGTCGAGGTCCTTTTTGATCTGTGTGTAACACTACACAACAACTACAAATTCCCCAGGCTCTGTCAGTGTGATGGGTCCATTAAAATGTCGCTGCTTATTACAATAATTAATTCAGAATCCCGCCAAACATAAATCGGCTTAAAAGCCAAATACGCAGACAGCCATGCAGAATGCCATTAAAAAAGTTTCTCAGCTGACATGTCTGTGTAATTATTAAATGCCACGCCCACGCTCACGCCCACGCCCACACTGACAGCCACAGGCGTATTAATATTATATTTAACAATTTACATAATTTGCAGCCGTAGTTCAAGCGGCAATTTAAACTTGCCGCCTAATTTCCCCAGCGGCATTCAAATCTGCGTTCTAGGCCCATCAAATATTTACTATCCAACACCCTCGCCCTCCAATTGCAGCTGCATGTGTCTTCAGTGCCCGCTTTGTTGGTGCCACAACAGAGACGCAGTCACGTAAGCACAGGTGCCACTTTGGCAGCTACGCTAAGCAGTGGACAGGATATGTTACGTGTTACATGTTGAGTGTCCTGTGGCTGCGGTCCAGGACACTCTTGAAGATTGCCCACTAGTTGAGCTGTAGCGACAGCTGAGTAAGCTGTGATTTCTGATCGGTTGCAGCTTCAACTTGTGGCATGTGCTCTCGAACGGGTACGTGAAAGTTGAAACTGGCCTCTCTTGTAGTTAACATTGTTTATCAGCTCTTAGAGGTTCTATTAAGAATCTTTTTTGACTTTAATTCGTTTAAAAAAACAATTTCAAGGAAGCATAAATACAGCATTAATACCGAATTAATTAATTAGAATATTTGCTTCCTTACCGCATTGTCAAGGCCTCAGCATGGTTTTTATTTTTTGGAATCGATTAAAACCGTTTTCAATCGACAAGTTGTGCATGTAATCCCATCAGGCATATATACTGAAAGGAAGGTTTGGTTTTTGGCCTGAAAGTTTTTCGAAAATATCGACCAACCGCGGCAGCCACAATTTCGATATTATTTATCAATATACTGTGCAATATATAAATGCAGTTTGAAATTGCAGTAAATTAAATTATTTTTCAAATTAAATCACTTTTGGTTTTTTTTCTTACCCTAATTGAAAATATCAAAATCTGTGAAAACGACATTGAATCGACCAAAAAAGTTGCGTGGTTTGCAGCATAAACACAAAAGTGAGCTGGTGGGAGTGTTTTGCGAGACTGCGCGACTAGCCAATACCCTTTATGATATACATCTATTTTTTGTGAGAACAATAAACATTGGGTCTGTGCGAAGTTCATGGCCTTGGTTAAAATAGTTAGATCTAAACTTATACTTAGGTATACATACTATTAATGGCCTCAACATTGTTTGGATCTTTCAGTTTCATTTTAAATATGACTTAACTGTGTTTATTCTTTAACAAAAGTTAACTATCTGAAAACAGATTATTTTTAACTAATCTACTTTTATAATATCTGATTCAGTTTGGTTTGAGGATCGTCTGTTTTTGCACAAATATAAAAAATATCAATTAAAAAGCAAAATTCCGGATATAAGCTGCTTCGGCTGATACCTATTTTGCAGCCTTGCTCTTTCAATTTTCTCAAATACAGGGTATATAAACGAAAAACTGATCTCTTGAATTCTTTGCACAATGCGTCCTGCAAAGTGCGCTTCAATAGCTGCAGCAAGTTTTGATTGTTGCCAAGTTTATGGCTTAATATGATTAATTTTTGGGGTAAGTTTTGAGCAAGTGCCGCAGAAAAAGTTTTCAATGTTGAAGCTTCTAGACAATTTATTCGCAGGCGCTTCAACGAGGTCCTTTCGCAGTCCTTTGAGTTTTGCTCGCGAATTTCGGCTTACTGTTTCAGCTGATGAGATCTGAAGGCGAATTTCTGCATTTACCCGGTTTTTCTTTTCCGTGGGTAATTGTAATAAAAATGTTGTAAGGCAAACTGAACTTCAATTTCATTTCGCACGCCCTGCTCTATTATTTATGAAGGCTCGTTGCAGCTGCACGTTGCACATCGCCAGCCAGAGTGATAAATTTGCCGAGCAGCCGTGTGGCCGCCTCCGATGCTGTTGCATATCTCACTTACCCTCTCCCTCTGTCCCCACCTCGCTGGCGCTCGCTCTTATTCTTAGTCTTGGCCACATCTAATTTATGTTCAGTTTAACCTTAACGCTCAGGCGCCATTTAACATAACATGCAAGTTTAATAGAGCCAGGCAGCGATGAATGTCCTTGTGCTGCCGCTGCTTGTGGCATGTATTTCTGGCATGCGCTCAAAAGTATGCTGCATTAAACTGCTGACAGGCATAACTTGTTAGGAAACACGACAAATATTTGTGCGGCAGGCAGGCAGACGAGTGCATGTCAAACTGTGCTCAAGTTTTCGGCGCATGCAAACTGCCGCAAAGAGTTTGAAAAAATACACAAAAATATACTTAAACAAACATGCATGCGAAATACTATAAACAGCACATGCATTCCTCTATTCCGTTTCAACTTAATTTCGTCAAGTCTCTTTGCTCTTAAGTAGTTTCAAAAAGAATAACCTTGTTTACGGTACGTTCTGTGCAGAGCATTTGATCTAATATGTATTTATTTACCAGGCAAACGCTTGCTAAAAAATTCTCATTCACAGTACATTTCCTGCATAGCTAACGATGTGTATTTGATCTGCCGGTCATTTATTTATTAGGCAATCGCTTGCCATAAATCTCAATTAGAGTCGACAGCAGTCGACAGCTGACAGGGCAACGTGACGTATGCGCAATATTTCTTTTACCTATTATTTGCACTTTTTCTCTGGCTTTTCGATTTGCTATTGTTGCATGTGTATGTGTATGTGTGCGTGTGTCTATGTCTGTGGCTCGAGGGCATAATTACTTGGTATTCGGTTTCTAAATTACTCGAAAATTTGACTTTAATGGCTGCCCCATTTGCTGTGGCAGTGAGGGATCGCATTTGATGCCAGCAATCGGTAATAGACTTTAATTATATGTTGACCACAAACCAGCGCCGCTTTAAAAACCTTTCACCTACATTTTCCAGGCAGTAGCTTGAATTTTAATGGGAAAAGTAGAAAAACCAATGAGGCATGAAAGATTCACATAACGAGGTTAGGACAACAAGAAAAAAAACAGATAAGTAGTTGAAAAAGTTCTATAGTATTTCCGTTGGCCAACAGCAAATAAAAAGTTCAAAAGCAATTTATTCGGTTCAAACGTTATATTTAGCCATAATTTGTAAGCATTTTGTTGGTCACCGAAATGTTGATTTTATGTGCTTGAAGTTTGTCTCCACGGTTTGTTATGGAAAGAAAAAAGAAAATATGAAATAAACTTAGAGGGATTCTTGCATAGAGGAACCTGTCGACTTTCTATCTCTTTTAAGCTTAGCGCGTGTTCTGCCCACGATGCAACAGGACGTACCACGTTATAAAAGGACCTGTCACATGATTAACACTTAAATATGATATTAGACGAACAACAAACTCATAAAATACTTGAACTAAAAAAGTTCGGCTAAAGAAGATGTTCGCCGATTAGAGATTCAGAAAAATATCGTGTGTGCCTCGAAATTTTGAATAGCTTTGTCAAAATGTCCATCATAAGTCTCCAGCCACCACTCTAAGATTATGGAGATGGTAGCCAAGCAGGTTGCTGCTTGTGTAGACTATAGAATAAACCATAACATAGACTTTTAAGCGTCGGGGATACCTTTACAAAACTCTCGCAATTCGTTGCAGATTCTTATGACACTTTTATTATGTACGGGGTCTTACTATTATGTACGGGGGCACTCAGACGGCTGGTAAATGTGCATTAATATTATATATATTGAGATATTGACTCTATCCAGTCATTTAGTCCTCTAATCCTTGTTGCTCTATCCATGTGCGTCGTCAAGGTCGTCACGCAGTGTTTGTAGCTCCTGCCTACTTTCCTGAGGCCTACTTTCAGGAGTTGCTAAGCTTAAGCTTAAGCTACTCTGTGTGTGGGTGTGCGTATTTTCTGCCCACATAATAGCAAAAATGTTGGCAAACTTTGAGTTTGGTAATGAGTTCACGTATGCGTTGGAACTGCGTGGCAACTGGGCCACAAAGACACAAAAAACATTCCCCATCTGCAGGCGCTGCCTAATGCCAAGTTGATTAAGCCACAGGAAGAGGCAGGCCCAAAACAAAAGAATATGCAAAAAACAAAACGTTGGTTGAACTTTTTGGTCCAGCTTAAATATTTCATGTAGGCCCGTTGCTGCTGGCAGCAGCAGCTCATCTCTTTGTATTAATTTATTATTCATTCAATGTGTATTGCCCTTAACATATGTGACTGCAAACGTGTAAGTGTTTATTATTCCCTCTATCCTTGTACCATTCCCTACTGCCTCCTACTGCCTGGCTGCTAGGTCAAGGACGTCACGCGCAACATTAAAAAAGCCGTTTGCGCCGCAAGCCTGGAGGAAATACGCTCCAAGGTGGCCGAGAAATTTGACAAGTGTGAGCAACAGCCAACAATCCATTTGGACTCCGATGGCACCGAAATCGACGATGAGGAATACTTTCGTACACTCGATGAGAACACGGAACTGGTGGCCGTCTTTCCTGGCGAGCATTGGATCGATGTGAGTAGACCAAATGTGCAAAACGAGTAAGATGTTGCGTTTATTTTCGGTACTCTGCATTAAGGCAGGCTTTTTTATAGTATAATTCAATTAAGAATCTTTAGTTTTATTTTTGCTTAATCTCGATTTAAGTCAAACTGATGCGAAATTGGAATTCTGAGCGTAAATTCAGGCGCTGAATTCCGCTTTTGCATTCAATCAACAGCAATGTGCGTTACGCACAAATTAATTAAAAATGTCATTGAAATCATCCAGTTCTGTTGTAATTTAATTACATTTAAGAATAATCCCAAAAAGTATGTCTTATGCATTTATGTCAAATGGCTGTATAACTTGGTTTCAGAATCAATTTAAATATATATTATTGTTTGCGCCTCGCGACTCTTCCGTTGTTATAATTCAATTTCAGTCGGGAGTTGAACATCACGTACCCGAATTTTAACTGAAATGTATCTTATATGCTTTATAGCCAACCCATTACGTGACCATAACCACGCCGAATGCCACGGGCAATGGCAGCATCACCGGCAATCCGGACAACGGCGACACCACGGATGCCAACAACTCGGAGACGGCGCGTATTCGCCAGCTGGTGGGCCAGCTGCAGAACAACTTGTGCAACGTGTCCGTCATGAACGATGCGGATTTGGACTCGCTCTCCAATATGGACCCCAACTCGTTGGTGGATATAACTGGCAAAGAGTTTATGGAACAGCTCAAAGATGCCGGCAGGTGAGTAAAAGTTACTTTGAGACTACTTATTATTACGACTGACTGACTGATTGACTGATGATCCAAACCGATAAGGCTTTTGGAAAAATCAACTTACTACTGTGGTAGTTGCGGTTTCATACTTATCCTTAAAGTTCTTAGTTCTAATCCATTTAAAAGTTGTTTCACACTTTGAAAAACCCACTTCACCTCGAGAAATGTGGGGATCAAATGATATAGGACTCATAATTATATGAAATTTCGCTTTCAAAGAGATATCCAAAGTATAGAGCAAAAACAATGCCCGTACAACGCCGGGCAACTCCGCCCATAACATATACTATTTAATAAATATGAAACTGAAGCCCTCACATCTGAATTGCATATCCATTCACATATCTTTTATGTTTTCCCTTTACCTATTTGCAGACCGCTCTGTGCCAAACGCAATGCTGAGGATCGCCTGAATCTGCTGAAGTTGCTCAAGGCGGGCGCCATTTTTTGCTCGGAACGCTATCCGGAAGATGCGGAGGCCATTGATCGTGAGATTGGGCGTCAGCTGAACGAGGCGGAGAGCGGTCAGCTGACCACAACAACCACCAGCAATACGCGGACCATCGAGGTGGTGCAGTGCGACAATCAGAATACCACCATTACAATAACCGTTGCCGAGGCGACCTCCACATGCAGCTCCACTGAAGCGGCTGTCGAGGTCAATGAGGTCAACGCCAATTCAAATGGCAATGGCAACACTGGCGACATCTGACTGCCCATTCTGGGCAGCCTTAGATGAAGCCTGGCCGCCAATGAGTAGCCAAACTAAGGCACAATTTTATCAAACGTTGTTTCACGTAAACGAACCGAAAAATCAGTCCTGCAACATTGGGTTAACATACACGTATTTGTAGCATATAATTAGGAGCTGCGAAATGCCACAATATAAAAACGAAACGAAACGTAATGTAACAAAATCTTCAGAAATGCTTCATAGAATTTAAGAGCAAATGAAAGTTAACGAAATATTACACGTATTAGCATAAAATCATCGCAAAATCGTCATCAATATTATGGCGGCATATTTTTGGGCATCAATCTAAAGTTGGAAAAGTTCTGAGATTTCAGTAGTGGTTGGATAAAGTGGTCTTAATTTTAGATCGGCGAATACATATTCTTTGTTTTAAAGGAAATGCAGTGTAGTATTTACTTTCTTACAGTTTAAGAAGCTTTTAAATTACGCTAGAGCACCGATTTTAAAATTCCTTGCGATCCCGAATATCTGAAATATATATTATAAAAGATTTCATGGTTTTTATCCAATCTGAACTTTTACGATTTTATTTCCTTGAGATTAAGTCAGCATAGAATTCTAACAAATTTTCAATTATCACAGGCTCAGGATCGAAAGAGATGTGTTTTTAAAATAATAAGAAAATATATCCCTATGTTAAAGCTGTGGCCATTTATTGTCAATCTCCAAATACCACTGAAATACCATGAAAAACAAGCAGCACATGTTTAAAAGTTTGATGACAGTTTTTGTCAGAGCTTCTTCATGTCAGCCCGTATATTGAAGGCAATCGAAATAATTAAAAAACACAATTAAGGAATCAAAATAAACGACAACAATAAACATAAAAAAAATGAAATATATATCATATGTGGATTAAAAGCAAAGGGAACTATAAGAAAATATCATATTCATTATTATCAAACTATTCACATTAGTTAAAAGAAATATTACAAAAATGTTTTATTGTTAAACAGAATCGAATTGCTTAGTAGCGGCTATAAAAGGCATTAAACGACTTTTTGTGTAGTTAGAATTCGAAAATGAAACTGTTTTTGTTGGTCGAACAGGCGTTAGTAGAAAACATTCTTATATATTGAAAATTGCAAATATTTTTTCTGATTTATATTGCATTCATATTATGTTCTTTTGAGTAGTTAGAGCTCGAAAATGGAAGTGTCTTTTTTGGATAGATATGCATTAGTAAAAACTTGTATTTTGACTGAAAATTCGTAATGAAGAATTTTCGTTTGTAATTTTTTACAAATATTTTCATTAATTTATAAAATAATACAAAATTCTTTGGAGTTGTTAGAACTCGTAAATGAAGGTTTCTTGTTGGCTAAATTAAAAAATTGCCTTTTGAATGAAAATTGGAAAAGCGAATTATCTTTTGTAATTTTCCATAAATATTTTTTTCTTTTTTATGATATTGAACACAATTCTTCTGCTTTAGTTATTGGTTTTCATGATCATTATCATTGAATGCATTGTTCTTTATTTATGCGAATTATATCGAAAATATATATTTACATTTGATATGGTGGTATGTTGTTCTGCCATTAGCAATTATTTAGTTGAATAAGGTGTTAAATAAGAAGCACAAACGCACACATAAAATTGTTTTTGGACTAATGCCATTGAAAATGTCATTTGTTGAAGCCAATTGAGACTGACTGTATTTATGTGTAGCAATTATTTGAGAGGTTTGAAATTGCTTCAAGTGAACCCCCCACAAAAAGTATTGTAGTCAAACACAAAACGTAAAGAATTTAAATGCAAACCGAAACACTTAATATTAGTAAATTTAAACAATAAATGCAAACAAGAAATGCAATTACACTCTTATACTCGTATATACAGAAAACCAGGCAAGGCAAATCAAAGGCAAGAAAAATACAACATGAATAAGCAATAAATATACCAAAAAAACAAGAATTATTAAATATACATAGTAACTGCATACACCAAGCAACAATATACCTAAATAAATGCATATTAACAAATCAAATACAAATATAATTTACTGCACGGTCCAACTATGCGTATGCGCAACATGTGCAACAGGGCGTATGAAGCCAGCCAAAATAGGCGCTGCCTAAAGAGAGTGGGAAAGAGCGCTTGGAAGAGAGCGAGCTTTGAAGAGAGACAGAGAGAGTGAGTGAGAGAGAGACGAAACTTTGTCCTGCAATTGCCGCAGTTAATTGCATTAAAAACACAGTCGCAGCTGTGACGTCACAAGGCGCGTGTTGCGTGTGACGTCTGATGAAAAAGAGGCCAGGTCGCAGCCAAGCCAGGCCAGGCCGGACCAGACCAGGCCAGTATATGCTACTGCTCCCGCTTTTGCCGCCTGACTCTGCCCTAGTAACACAGTTCAAAGCTCACAGCTCGCAGTCAGCTGAGTTGCAGCCTGTAACTGACCCAAATCCGACGACAACTGCAGCCCCCGCTGTCTCATTGTGGGCGTGGACTAATTCAAAATTCGATTTGCTCTTCGCATTTTTAATGCGCACAAATGAACTTCAAATCTTTGGCCAGGGCTCTTTGGTATCCGTTTAACCTTTTCCACTTTAGCAGTATATGCTTTTAGCTTCGCGTTGGAATACGTTTTGTTGTTTATTGTTGTTGTTGTTGTTGTTGCTGTTGCTGTTGCTGGCGGCTCTGTGTCCTTGACACGTCGCATTTTTTGGGCCAACACTGGCAAAGAAATTATTTTAAATGTAAATATGAGCTCAGGCTCAGTTCGGGCGCGTATCCGTTGGCCTGCTTTGATGTGCGGCCACATTTCCATTAAAAGGCGTATTCTATGTATTACGGGGGCGTGGTTCGTTTCACGTTTTTCTTTCATTTTTTTCTGTCATTCTTAGAAATTGCTGCCCATGTTAAATATAATTTGGCTTGAATGCTCGGTGGGGTCACGCTTTGAAGTGCGCTAAGCGAAAATGTGACATTTTTAGAAGCAGCTCCAATTTCCAACAGCTGCACAATGGAAAAGGCTGTGTTATTCGGTAATTAAATGTTATAGTAAGCGAAGTTCAAATTAAAAGTGCTCTGTGCGTATGTATTCTTAGTTAACTTTTGTCTCCATATGCGAGTAGTTGACGATAGCAGCGCATTTGTTCAATGTGGACAATATCAAAAAGATGTCTTTGGCGCTTAAAACTTCGAATACGAAATAATTTTAGATGCGTCGTGAGTATTAAAATATATATATAATTGTTTGTTATGACTGACTGACTGACGGACTGACTGACTGACTGACGGACTGACTGATTGATTGGGCACCAATGCACTGACCAGTTAGCAGAAAGGTTCCAATATGATTTAAATACAATTTTAAAGGTCTTTGTGAATATTCATTGGAAACCTGTTTTATAATTGGTGGAAACTGTATCCCAGTGGATGAATAAAGGGTTGGGGTGTTAACTAAGGACCTTAATTCATTTTTAAAACTCTAATATTATAATAAATATTAAATCGAGCATGGAACTTCCATGGGCATCGCAGGGGAAAAGGTCGAATGGAACTACTTAGTTCGTTTCTTACTTAACCTCAATTTTAAATATTTACGCTATTTTTTTTATTTTTAGAAAGTTATTTTGTTTGCCTTTAATGTGCGCAAATTTCCAACATGATGTAAATGTTTATTATTTTGTATTTTTGTTCCTGCTTTCTGCCCGACCTCGAGTTTTGCCCACTGTACGAGCACATTATTGCTATGACTATAACAATATTTTCTATTTTATCTTGTGGATAAGTAAATATGAGAAGCATGGAGTAACCAAATCTTGGTCCGTGCACAAACAAGTGAGGAAATCAGTGGCCAAATGGCAGAGCATCAGGCACAAATGTCAAATGTCTCACATTGCTGCTGTCTGCTGTGAGGGCGGAAGAAGTATGGGCGTGGCCAAGTAAAAACATATCGAATGTAGCGTTAGCATTGCGCACAGGCGAGCGTATAATTTTCTACAATTTTGTAGCCAGCTTTTTATTTTATTTTATTTCTGTTTTTTTTTTGTCCAGAAATAAATGTGAAAAGAGCAGCTTGTTTATTTGTGTGCCTGCGGGGGTCGTGTTCTGCACACCGACTATGTGTGTGTGTGTATGTGTGTGGGTGAGTTTCGCATTGCACATAAACAGCAATTTTTTTTGTAATAGATGCCGCTGTGGGCATTGCTAATACGCCCCGTGGCACATATGCGACGGCAACAATTGTGGCGGCAATGCGACGCTGCGCTGGGCGGCTTGTGGGCGTGGTCATAATCATGCAGCAGATTGTGCCGCAGGCAAACAGCAGCAAGAACAACAAGAAGAAGCGCTTAGATTGCCTCATTTGCCTGTGCATTTGTGTGTATCCGAGTGCTGTGTCGTCGCCTGTGCTTGCACTGGAGTCTCCCAGTGTGTGTGTGTGTGTGTGTGTGTGTGTTTCGGTGTGCCTGTGTGTGTATTTGTTTGTGTGTGTTTTTCTTTGGGTGTTTATTTGCCTCGCTGATTTGTTTGCACAACCAAAGGCATTAGCTGCGGGCACAGTGTCCATAAATGAGCATACGCCCAGTGCCTAGACACAGCTGTCAGTAATGAAAATTTTCAGTGATAGCCCAACACAAACATGAAATTATACGAATTGTTGAACTTAATGCTGTTATTGTTTGTGTGGCATGTGAGCGGGTAGAAGTCGTGTCATTTGACCTTTACTGTACTAGCGCCTTATGTCGCAGCTGGAGTCGATCAGCGGGCAGCCGAGTCCTTCAACCAACATGCCGTGCATGGAGCGCTGCATGATGAACTGGCAGAACGAGGTGGCCAATGCCCAAATGGAGCTAAACGTGGATCTAGACCAGCCGCAATATGAGCAGATGCTGCAATTGGAACAAGAGCAACTGGCGGAGTGTCGGCTAAGTGTACACTATTTTGATTGTACTCTAAAATGCATGTTTGATAAGTTTACACTGCCGTTTAGATGTAGACAACAATCGTAAAATCCATTCACTTATTTGATTTAACAAAACAGATGTAGCATACTTTTTTGGGCTAAATAAATATACTCTTATTTGGAAGTTACATGTTTAATGTTTTTTTTTTTTTATCTTTCTATTTGTTGAGCTTTATTTTAATTTTTCTGTTATTATCTGGAACAACTTAAATTAAATTTGTATGAATATTTACAATCTACTTATTCTACTGGTAAGTCTTATATACAAATTTACAGTGTCAACTATATAAATCGATCTGGGAGATCTATTGGGTGAGACCTTCGTAGTCTCCTCCGCGTTCGGAGTCCTCCAATTCTGCGCCTATTCAGAAGACGCCTAGCCAGTCGATTAGGATGACCCAATGACTGTATCAAGCTCTGCCTCCATCTGGGTCACATTGTTTACATTTTCAATGAAGATGGGGGGTGGCTTCCTGGATCTGGGTACTCTGGCTTCTTTTTCCGCATTCAGCTCTACTTCCATCTCTTCTGCCAGTGCCTCGGCATGGGCTATTTCCTCCTCTGTAGGATCATCGTTTTCTTCATTATCCAGTATTGCAAATTGGTTTTTTGAGTTTATTGGGATCTCCTTTAGACGTCTGTCCATCGATATCTGAGATGCAATTAACCTCCCTTTTTTACCATTTGCTTTTGGAAAGCTTGAAGGCAGCTTACGTTTTATTTTGGTCGTCATCCAGCTGAGTGATTTCACTGATGACTTTCCTAGTTCATTGATATTATTTTCTGATGCGCCTGCAACTACACTTTTGTAGTTAATATTTGGGATGGTGCACACTCCTCCACTTGAAGTTGTGACAGTGTAGGTAGACGCGTAGATGGAGTTTGTCGATGTCAATGTGCATGTCGTTGCTGCAAAATTGCTACTACTGCACTTAATTGCAGTATTTGAAGCACTTACAGTATTTAGGGAAATCATTTCACGAATTTCCGCAGGTGTAGCGCCAGCAATTCTCATCATTTTAGCGAATTCTGGTCGCAGCTCTCTCGGTTGAGAGGGCGTGGATGCACTAACATCCATGCCCAATGTTGTTTGGCTCAATGTTGTTTTTTTCTTATTAATTTTTCACGAAAATTATAAATTTAATGGTACACAATTTTTATTTTTTTTTTTGATGAAAATTTACCTCTGCGTTTGACGTGTTTAATGTTAAATTTGCTTTGCGAATTATGATTTAAAATTCGATATCAAGACAAGTTATCAATTCGAATCATATCAAGCTCGCTTTTATTTAGATTTGGAATGTCGTAAACAAATATTTATATTATACACTGCTCTAAATAGATTACCTTGTTTTAGGTACGGTTAAAAAAACAATACATTCACGTCAAAAATGTTTCATTTAGGCCTTTTGACACCTTCCTGTGTTACGACAGCGTGCAGATTTGTACAGGGTATTTCAAAGTTAGGCTCTATCGTCTAGATTACTTTTAATTGATTTATATGTTTTTAAATGGTTGTTGATATAAAATATAGTGCGTATCATGAAAAGATTTAAGTGTAATGAAATCAACATATAGCATAAACATAAAGTATAAGCTTGTGAACAAGTTAAAACAAATATTCGAAAATTAAATGAGTGGAATGCCAGGCAAAGGGGAATATGTAAATATCTGGGCATTTGCACAACTAATTAAATATGCGATTACGATTAAATTGAATTGCAGGTTTAACATAAAAAAACAAAATAAAACTGGCATAAAAACGAAAGTGAGAACTCAGGCCAAAAGCGGGCAGGCCGCAAATAATGTTCAGGCAACCCGCATTCGAGCGTGTGTGTGTGTGTGTGAGTGTGTGTGTGAGTGAGTGTGCGCTCGCGTACATATTTCAATTTAATTAAAACGTTTTTATTTTATGTGTTTTTCTTTGGCAGTCGCTTTATTTAAATTCATTCAATTGTAGCTAAATGCCAGAATGGCAGCCCAAATATTTGGCTTAGCCGAGGAGTTAAATTCATGTTTGGATTTAAATATATTTTCGTATTCGTCGGGTTCGCACTCGTTTCCGTTTTATCTGTTTTCTTTCCTCTTTTTTTTTGCAAGTTCAAAAGTGCACCAAATCCGCACGCGGCCGCTGAATGCCAAAGTTGAGTTCCAGCCTGGCAAGTGTCCAAAATAAACCTTTAAGTGTGGTCTTGTAGGGAGTGCTTGACTGGAAGATACACTGGCAAGAGGACTATGCTTCCGTTTCATTCATTCGAGGAAAACACACACCCTTAATCACTTTACGAATTACCAAACTATGGAAAAGAGTGCTTGAATAACTTCTATATTTACAGTTCGATTTCTATGACATTTTCAGGACATTAATATGGCATTCATATGTGTGTAAATACAAAAAAAAAAAGCCGTAAGCAATTAATCTTTGGGAGGAACGGTACACCTTACCTAGGAAATGGTATATTCGGCATCTGTGTAGCAAGAATATAATTACTTTAAGGGCTTGTTCCTTATGCCTGCGACATGTCTTTCCACAAATCCATGATACCCTTTTTGTAAATTTTTATTGGGTCCAGGGTACAAAAAAATTGGCTGGCCAGAGTGAAAGCAATTAATCATCGCCACATGCGTTGTGTATGTGACCTTTTGTTAGAGTATGTTACAGTTTGAGTTACTGCTGCCTGACACGGCTGCGACGACAAGTGAGTTAATTAATCTAACTGCCCAATGCCTGTCAAACTGCAGACGAGACGAAGGTCATGTACCATAATTAAGCATGACTGTTGTTGCTGCTGCTGCTGCTACAAATGATGATGACTATGAGACTGGCCCAACGTGCGGCACCGGCTGGCTCGACGCATAAATTTCAATTTGTTAGCAGCCGAACTCCTGCCGCGGCTCAACTTTATATCTCATATATGCATTGCCAGTGAGGTTGTCAGATGCAAACACGTTCGCACCACGTCCCAATGCACAATTAGCGAGCTGTCACATAAATTATTAGGCCGTTCGATTGCCGCAAGGAAATGCAAGCGGAAATTATTGCTCTGCGACATACGCACACACAGATGTACACATACATATGTACATATGGACATATATGTACATGCAATGTGCAAAATGTGCGAAATATGCGAAATATTTTGATGTCGGGTCAGCATATTGCTGAAATATGCAAAACACGTTGCAAGCTTTAAGCCGCTATTGTTTATGAAGGGCATGCAAGCCGGTAATAAGCGATGGTCCACTGATTCTGCTGGTTCGGCACTTTAAACTTTTCGAAGTGTGCAAATGCGCATATTTCAGAAATTTCATTTCCGAGCATTAGGAGTTTAATTTCTGTAATTACATATTGTGTGAAATCGAAACTTTTTAAGATGTTTTAAATAATTTATATTAAACTCTAAATACATAAATTACAACTCGTTTTTATCAACACAATTTATAAACAAATTTAAAGTTTAAACTTCTAAGGAAAGGTTTTGAGATGGAAGAATTTTTAAAGACAAACATCTCACTTATTAATGTTATTATATCTTTCTGCTTTAAGGATATAATATTAAATAATAGTCAACATTGACTTTCAGACAGCCAGTTTTTTATGAATATTATTTGATGTTTGATATTACAATTACAAATTTTTTACACATATTACAAATTTAAAACATATTTTTTCAATAAAATAAAGCAAAAATTATTTTGCTTTTTATTTGAAAACATTTTAATTTGTACTTGTTTAAATTACTCTCCCACTTATTCCACAATTTGGTTTGAACATTTAATAGATTTACTATTGCATGCTGTGCAGCCGGAAAATGTGCACAACACAAGTTAAGTTGAAATTGAATAGAAAACTTTTTTACTGTTTTCGCGTGATTTTCATGAAAGTCACGTACGCAGCTCCATAGTCAATCAGCTGAAAATCGCTGTAAGTTTCGGGCAAGTTCCGTGCTGCGTGCATTGCATTGACGGAGTGACAATTATTACATTCGGATTTCACGCGGCGTATGGGTAATATTTTTGTATTGTCGGCTTAAATACATAATATATATAGATATAGGTTTATGGCCATGTAACTTGCAATGATAACAATGCAAAATTTATGGTAAAGCGGTGAATGCAGTTTTCGTTTTGAGCCTGTGGCAATTTACATATATTTTAAGATTAGGTTTTGTTTTTGCAAACTTATTAGCATAGTCAGAGAGTAAGAGACGGAACTGGAGGCGGCATGTAAATGTCCCGCCCAGTTCAATCGACAGTCTTAGCCCATAAATCAGCGCCTTTGTCTGCGCACCTTTGTTGAACTTTCTCAAAGTGCCAACAATTTTAATAATGCGTTAAGAGTTGCGGTGGCTGCAAGGACCCCATTATGCAGAAGTGACATTTTTCGACTGCCTGTCTGGATATTTTTTGCTTGTAGCTGCAGCCCTGCATTCATAGGCCAGAGTGTTGCCTGCAAGCTGCCAACTTTATTTTATTGCATTTATAAACTTTGCCCTTACACAAAGTGCAGCAAAAAAAGTTCAAAACCAAAATGTATATGTACGCAAATACGTAGCTACATATATATACGTATAAGTGCAACAATTTACCAGCCGCGCTGCCAGCAAATTTACTACCCGAAAAAATAAAAATAAATAACGTTTTACAGGTGAGAGCAGTGCTTGGCCAGACGGGCCTGGGTGCAGGTAGGTGTGTAGGCCTAGGTCCCATTAAAATGTACACAACATTGTTTGTTTAGGACAGGCGAAAACACGCCCTGTCTGCCACTTACAGCCGGCTAACAGCGGCGTTAACAGCCGCTTAACAGCGCCCGCTCTTCGACGAAGCTCACTGTTAGCAGTGCTTTTGCGTCTGCGTCTGCTTCTGCGTCCGTTTTGCGTTTTGCTTTTGCTTTTGCAATGACAGCAAACACGGTGGCAAAGTCACGGAGCTGCTTCTTTAAATACAGCACGCACAGATGTCTGGCAATTTATTCCAAGTTCGGCCGGCTTTTGTTGCGATTGGTGGGTGCGGCTGCCACGGCAACTGCGGCAACAAAGAAACGCGTAAATAATAAGATAACAAAATTGATCAATAAGTGAATAGGATTTCAAATAAATACAAATAAATTTTTAAATAAATTTTGAAACGTGCAGAAAACAATAAAAACATTTAATTTTTAATTATTCTACACAACATTTTGTTCAACAAAATTTCAAATGTGTGCGAGCAACATTTTCTAATAAAACAAAAAGTTTGTTTATCATTTTTGAACACGTAAATAGAAAACAATCAAATTAACTAAGCGAAATTATTGTAAATTTGTGGCACACGTTTAATTACAAAATTTAAGACTTTTGGTATTTTCCTAATAAAAACAACACAGACAGCCGATCGGAGGCACAACTAAAAGTAGGCGACAACTTTCCACAACTACTAAACATCTAAATTAACTTTTTAATTCGTTTTGTTTTTCATAAATCTTACGGACTGGCTAGCAGGCAAATAACGAGACACAGGAAGACATCGAGTTAAGTAAAAAAATGACAGAAATTAACGCTGCAATACAGGCAATTACTACAGTAAAAACAACAGTTGAAATAACTGATACGATGGCAGCCTCGACGGCTCCGTCTCTGGTGCAGACCACATCAAAAACGACAACAACAACAGGAACTCCACGACAAAGAACTTTGATGCGTGCTGCGGAAATGGACGCAGATACCGATGAGGCTGATGCGGATGATGTAGATGATGGTAAAGCTGCTGCTGATTCTGCTGCTGCTGCTGTCGCTGCTGCTGCTACTGATGATGATGATGATGCGGCGGACAGCATCACTTTGGAGCTGGCATTGTCACCCAACACGCCCACACCACCACCCACCACTGCCGACGAGGATCTGGCTGAGCTGGACAACAGCAAGCCTTTCAAGGTGGGTGCTCGTTACCGTTGCCAGAGGACAATCACACAGTATTGCCTATTCATAAGTCAGATTCAATTGTTAACCGGCTAGCAATTGGTTAAGTAATTACGGGCTCCATTGTTGTTGGCCTCAGTTTGTTAGCGCCAGCTCGTGCTGCACAAAGGAAAGTGGTCAGTCAGCGTGGCGTAAGGAGCCAGGACCAAGGTGCAAGGAGCAAGCGGCTGGCCACTCAAAAGTCTTTGGCTTCGAGGGCTGCCGCTTGTTTTAGTTCTGGTGCCGGGTCTGAGTTTTATGCGCCCTTAAGGCATCTTTCACTTTCAAGAGCGGCAGCAGCTCGAACGTACCATGACCAAATTCTATTGCCTCGAGCTGCTCGCGTTTTGATGCCGCGAACTCTTCTGGTGGGTAAAATAAAGGTCGAAATAAAATATTCAAAATGTTTTAAATCTTAGACGCGTTCAAATATTCTTGCTCGGCCATGTTGCTTATTTTATACATATAATTATTTTACAAATTTGTTTCTTTTTATACCGTGAACCCATTAAAAATGGGTATAAGGGTATATTGTATTTGTGGAAAATGTAAATGTATGTAACAGGCAGAAGGAAGCATCTCCGGCCGCATAAAGTGTATATATTCTTGATCAGCATCAACAGCCGAGTCGATCTAGCTATGATCGGCTGTCTGCCCATCCGTCCGTCCGTCCGTCTATCCGTCTGTCCGTATATATGAATGCAAGGATATTAGAACCTATAAGAGCTAGAGACTTAAAATTTTATTCCTTCCTAGTGCCTGTGCAGATCGAGTTTGTTTCCGATAATCGATAACTTGCCCCAATTCCAAGTAGAACCTCTTACTTGTTCTTCTTAGTATATAAGTACTTGTATGGTGTTGGCTTTCAAACTCAATTCGTTGAAAACAAAATGTTGCCAATTTTCAACTTATCTACTTAATTTTTGTTGTCATTAAATAATCAAAGTTGTAAGTTTTTAATCAGTGGTCGATATGGCAAATGCGAAAATGCAAAATTTTAAATGTTTTATTTAAAAAAAGACAGTTTTTGATAGCGCATCAAGGCACTATAGATTTATTTAAAAGTGGAAAGAGAATTTGCCACCAAAATGAATATTATTAAATTCAAATAAGTCAAAATTTTAATTTTGATTTAATCGGTTTATACCATTTCATCACAGTTTGAAAGCTAATTTGCTTACAGAACATGTATCGGAGTCGGCTTGAATTGTTCTATTTAGGGCCAGCTGAGCTGAGTAAAAACCAATAGATTTAGTTGTACCTCAAAGTACACTGATATCTGAGATCGTCTAAATTTAGTTACTCCACTTATTGTTTAACATAGTAGCTCTTTATTCTAAAAATTGTCCAACAACCATAGTAAAAGACGATTTCCAATTAAAATCAACTGCTAACAATGCCAGCAAATTGCAATCTGGCAGCCCTAGAAAATTCCACATGATAGTTCATATGTGCTTCAGATTAGGTTCTATTTCGTCTAGCTTCTCATCATCTGCGCAATTCAGACTTGTTTTTACACGGGCTGAGCTCAAGTCGCACGAAAACGCAGCTCATATCTCATGAAAAATTACTTCACATAAATCAAAACTACATAATATTTAAAGACCCGTTGACTTTATAAAACTTTATAAAACTGCATCGCAAACCTAAAAAAACGTTAGATTTATGTAGCCCGTTGGCTCGATTTTGAACACACTCGAATCAAATTATGATACACCAGAGACTTTATAAACTGGTTGCAAGTTTTTCATTTTCATGTTTAACAAAAATTTAAATAATTGAATGAGCATCCACAAAAAGGCCATCTAGCCACAGTTACCATTAAAACATGCAACAAATTGCTCTTCAATAGACTTTTAACATGTAAATGAATGTACATTATGAGTTTATATCATCTTTGATCTATATTAATACTGTACCCATTATAGAAGGCAGCAGCAGACAACATTTTGGTTGCATTAAATATGCTAGAAATTAAATTAGCACAAACATCTTAAACTTGGCCAGCGACTTCGTTTTGGACAACTTGAAGTAGAGGTTTTTCGTGAAATTTGTAAATTGTGTTTTAATAACAAGGCAGCAGAAGCCAATATTGCGGCTAGCTTACAATTGAAATTAATTAAAACTGTTCCGAGGGATAAAATGGACTAACCGTGCTGCGAAGGCGAGCAGCATCCCGAGAAGCCATAGCAGCCATAGCGTTGCCAGAAAGCGCAACGCGCGGCCATCCCATGCTCGGTCCGGATAGCTCGTATATCATTAGTGGCGGCCACTGCCGTTGAGGCGCAACTAAGCTGCCGTAGTGTCTGCTGCGCGTTAGTGCCGATAACGATGCTGCTGCCACTTGGCCATGCGTCACCAGACACGGCAAGGAGCCACTCGTTGAGCGATTGTGTGTGCGTCGTCTGCCTGGCTGTCTGCCCCTAATCGATTTATGGTATGCTGAGAACGTTAAAAAGCTCCATAACAAAATCAACTAGGTTGAAGGATCAGAGACATGCAAAACTTTATAACTGGCTACGCGCAAGTGCCTGTAAATTTAGCAGGACGCGATTATTAACTGAAAGCTTGTAACTCTCAGATGTCAAATTTGTCATTCGCAAAAATCAAGGAAAAGTTTTCCCTTCTTTTCCCGTTTCCCTACTCGAATTAACTGCGGCTGCGAATGGGCTGGCAGGGCCACGTGTCGTATGCGCAATTTGTGTGGCATTTATTTAATTAATAAACGTGCACGGCATGTGACATGATTTTGACAAGCATTCATTGTCATGCCTATCTGACAGGTTGACTATCCTTACGGCTGACGCTCACCACTTTTTCAACAATTGTAGTTAATTAAATGAAATGTGTAGGTGTGTGTGGGTTGGCTTAGCATAAGTTTTTACTTTGGGGATGTTAAATACAATAGGACTAGAATATGTTCTGCCCCATTGCCATCAAGCGTTATGATAATGTGCCATGAACCTCCTTCTACAAACACCAAATGCAGCTCGTGCAAGGGAGCCTTCCATTCATAGGCCGTCAGTGTCTCGCAAAAGTATTCTTGAGTATCTTTTGTGCTATTCGACCGTGTAATATATTTAAATATTTACACTAGAGCTTACCTCTAACTGTTTTTTTATAGACCTATATAATTTTAGATTGTTAACATAAATTGTACAACTAAAATTGCACTTATTGCATACTTCCCTAATATTTTATGTTTAGCTCTTAAAATCGACGAGGTTCACGAAGTATCCGAAAAGTTGCATTTTACTTGATTTGCGCTTTGCTTTACAATAAGCTATCGTATTAAAAGTAATCAAATTATTTTTTTTCAAATATTTATTGTTTGCAAGTCCTAAACCCATTGAAAATCAGAAAGAAGAGTGTAAAAGGACCCCATAAAGTATACACATATATATACTATATATACTATACTTCTAAGATTACTCAAACAAAAAAAAGTTAAAAAATAAAAAGTTTCGTATAATTTCGTTACGCACCTTATTTAGTCAGCATCAATAGATGAGTCTGACCGACTGTATGTGTGTAAGAATGTGTTGACCTCAGAGACGATAAAAGCTAGGGACTTACCCGCGCAGATGTAATTTATTTTAAATGATTATATCTCACCATGAAAGTACTCCATGCTTTTTTGCTTTTGACAATAAAAGTAAACATACATACAAACATACATACATACATATTTTATTAAAAACTCGTTTAACCTACATAAAGTATTATTTTATTTTGTTTTTAAATATCTTTTTTACATCTTCAACTCTTCTCCAGACAAATCCTAAGCCTGTACGCAAGTGTCCAATCAGTTTTGCTGCATTTTGAAGAGCATATTTCTATTTTCATTGAAAAGCTATTACCCCCAATTTGAGCCTAATTACTACGCTTATAGATATCTTCTATGCATGAGTACATTTTGAAGTAAGCCAATTTCAACTTACTTTTGTGCCGGCACAATCACACTCTCTTAATAGCTCGTTATGCGGTCATAAAAATGAGAACGGAGCGCACCGAGGTCCCTATGTGGTGAACAGGACTCCCCGCCGGCATGCTGTTGTCTGTGGGACTAATACGAATGCGACATGGAAAACGCATTTGGTTTTTTCTTTTAATGTCGTCTGAGAACTGTTCGGTTCTACCTACTATGCAAAAGCCATGTTTCAAAAACGAAGAACCAAAACCAAAATCCTTATACAAATGCCATGCAAAATGAATGGGCAGGCGGGTAAAGTGGGAGGGCGGGCTGGAATGAATTAAGTTAGAAAATACACATGCTACAAACATGACAAGAACAACAGCAATAGCAACAGCAACAGCTACAACAACAACAAGCAATTACAACAAGTAAAAGCCTGGTAAGGTAAAAGCAGGCGCACACATTGCGTATACGCAACGTAGCGCATTAAAGTAAATAAGCGAGCATTATTCATGTCCAAGCAAGCGTGCAACTTAACTATACCACTCCATGGGGCAATACCAAGTAGCAATAAGCTGCAGCACTTGCCTGGGGGAGGGGGGCTGTCTGTTGCCCGTCTGTTGACTATCTGCTAATAATATGCGTGTCAATGCGGTGACAAGCTTGTAAATTGCGATGCTTTCCGATGTCTTCCCTTCGCCCTTCCTTGTTTGTTATTGCTGTAAAATACTTAATGGACTCGCAATTGCAGAGAGTAAACTATTTCAATAATGTAATGGGACAACAACGGCTACAGGCAGGCCCCGGTTACTATGGCATTTTGATGGCAATCGTGGGAAATTAGTGCCGGCAAATAGCATCGGCGAGGAGCCTGACTCCGTACAATGGAAGCACAAAGCAAAGCTGTGCAGAGTGCTGAAATGTAATACAAACAATTCATACTTCAATAGAACCACGTATAAATGGGTCAATTTTCACAAAGGTCTAGCTGAATGGAGTGAAAGCTCAGGGGGCACGTTGGCAAAACAGCTGCTAGTACGAGATCCGCCTTGCCTATTATATTTCTGTGAATTGAATTGAGCAAATCGAATATTTCAGAACTAGCAGTTACAAATAGACAACAAATAAATATCAATAGAACTAAGGTTAATAATAAACAAAAGACCAGTCCCGCTGTGCCGACGAGATGTGGCAGTTGAGCATACTAATTGAAGTTGAGCTTGTGTAGCCTCTCGACTTACAATAATTTAAATCAAATGGAGAATGGCAGATCACAATTAATTCGATTTAATATGGCATGCTGCTATTTTCATGATAAGCTTTAGATCCTCAGGTCTTTAAGATAATTCCATTCATTCTGTGTGCTAATATATAAAATTGAGTTAGATCAAATCCTTTGGCTAGAGAGTTTAGCCTGCAGTTAATAGTTTTGCTGGGCTCACTGTCCGTTGTAGCCGATTGTTGCGAATGCATTTGCATGCCCGGTAGTTGTGTTAATTTTGGCTTAACAGCAGCTCAGTTGCAGATGCACATACCCATTCCTGATGAAGTTTCACAATTGCTGGCATGACCCGCACTCGTACCTTTACCAAGCGAGCCAGATAGAGCGCACGCGTGTCATTATAAATGCATGAGTACATTGGAATCCGTCCATTGTCCTTGTCGGACTCTGCAGTGTTTGCTTTTTCAGGTCCTGGTACTTGCCTGGTGCCCTTCGTAAATTTACCGAACCAATATTTATACGGGATCAGGTGAAATACACAGACAATGTACCCTTGATTTAGGCAATTTTGTTCAGTTTAGTTACTTGGCTTAAATATTTGTCGATACAGCTTACAAGCCAATTAATATAATAACCTTATCAACGCGAACAGTAATGACTGTGCTAACAGACTTCTGTTAAGAAGCACGTTAGTTAACAGAAAGATAAATATCCTAATGCAACTGAGACATGAATAAGATGGCAACTCCATAATGTTTATATACTAGATACTTATGTTCATAAATAAATTATATGTAAATGAGCAATCATTATGTCAGACAGACCAGGAATAAAATGCATTTTGAATGGAAATGGTTTGAATAGATGGTAAAATAATGATGATTTCTTGTTGTCATGTATCACGTATTTAGCTGATAGCTTTGGATAGGCGTCTGATTAACTCAATCCAAAAGTTCTTACAGCAATAACACTTGATTAAATTTATGACAAACATTTAAAATGATTAAAAGCACTTGACACAACGAATATGGTTTGCTGAGCCAAGCAAAATGAAAAAGTTTTCTAAATAACTGATTGAAATTGAGCAGCTTTGTATAGTGAGTAGCGGATACTAAAGTTCAACAAAAGGTTAAAGTCAAGGCCATGGTCAATGGAAAATCTAAATCTGAAAACATGGCTTAGTTCGAATAAAACAACTGCAAATATTGCGGTGTATTTCTGTTTGTTGGGTGGGGGCCATGTAGACTTGCGAATACGCTGAAAACAAAGTCAAGGAACGCATTTGGCGCAAACAAAGCCACAGGCCATTGGCATATGGAAACCAGTCAGCCAGCCAGTCTTCCTTTCAGTTCGCCAGCCAGTCAGCCAGACAGCCAGTTTCCCAGCCAGTAAAGTGGCAATCAGCAAGTCAGCGTGTTGCTCAGCCGAAGTTTGCTTTAAGAGTTTGTCGATTTGTATTGAATAAAGAAACGGAAAAGTTTTATTTAGTCTAGCTTATCGCTAAAAATATTTTTGATATGAATTTCAAGCTGAATGTCATTGGCCATGATGTAGGCCAATTTAAAGCATATATATTTAATTTTATATATTTTAAAGTGAATTTACATTATATAAGTTACAATTAAGAAATTACGAATCAGTTAATTAGTCAGTCAGTTAATCAGCGAATGAGACAGTCAATCAAGCAGGACAAACAGGTTATATTAATTAATAGTGAGCTACTTATTAGTTCTATCAACACTATAACCTATGACCGAAAGGTTAGCCAAGCCGATAATTATCGATCATAGACCTCAGTTATTAGTCTGGCAAATAACTTGTTGATTGAACCTCGTGCGCCAACATGTTGAGCAACACAATAAAAGTCAGTTCAGTGCTGTTCAGCTTGGTTTAGTTCAGTTCGGGCTATGCCAAATGTAAACATAAGTTTAATGGTCAATACGCCAAGCCAAGCCAAGTGCCAAGTGGCCCGACAAAAAGGAAGGCGGTCAGTTTGCTCCTGTCGGGCTTCTTTTATGGAAATTCGCATAAAATGCGTGATAAATTTTCATTGTTGTTGGCAGACGCAACATTGTCGGCCAGTTGATGGATTTGCCAAGCATCATAATTGGTTTAGCAGACGTGGCGATCAATGATTGATATGATAAGCAGCTGGCGTAGGGGCAATTGCTTGGCTTTATGGAATGACAGCTCCATTGTCACGCCCAGACAGTGTCGCTCTCACATGTCATTGACTTTAAGGCCATGCAGATAATATTGATGATGATGATGATGTTAATGATGCTCATGATGATGTGGGCTCAAACCTAGATCGATCAAATGCCGTGTGTTGGCTCATTTATCAGATGTTCCATCCACAATTGTGTACAGCATGACGTATACTTAATATTAATAAAAGGGCGTTCCATACAATACGCCTGCTTCATTCGGGTAGCTTACCTTTTGCTGAGTGGTCCTTTGTCCTTTTTTTTTGTTTATCCTACCCAACCACTTCACTTCAAAACTCACGCATTTTGGCATTTTACATAGACAGCGTTGCGCTTTAAATATTAAGCAGGCCATCTTTAAGCAGGCCAGTATCTTTTTGAGCCCGAAACTTAATATCCTACCTGAACGCATGACATGCTAGGGTTGCTGTTGTTATTGTTGTGGCTTTATTGCCATTGGCAAATTATAAATTGATTAGTTGCTTGCTTCTGTTTCTTGCCCTTGTATAATATAGTACTACCTCCGTATCGCAGTCGTGCGCTTCGCTGGCTTTTTATTGTTTTTATTGGGAGCTTAACAGAAGGCGGTCGTAATAGAATGCTTCTGGCACATTTGAAATTAAGGCAAACATCGATTCTGATTTTTCCTTTTTCTGTTTTTTCTTCGCCTTCTGCTTTGTTGTTTCACGCCAGCGTCCAATCAAAAGAAGTGACATTTTCATAATAATTAAATGGGTGCGAGAATTTTGAACGAAAGTCGTTAACTTTTTGTATGCTGTCGAGTATATACAATCAAGTGTCCCAGCGTGAGTTCTATTCATGTTAAAGCATTTAATAATAACAAGAATGAACCTTTGCTAGCCAAAGATTAAATACTCTTGCAATATTTTTTCAAATAGTTGCTTAAGAGATATTTTAAACTAAATTAGAATATATTTTTTTAATCGGTTTATAAAGTTAAGCCATACAATCATTAAAATCGATTTATCAACTAGTTCAGTTCAAGATTTTATTTATTCTTTTTATCATCGAAGACATTTAAATTAGTGTTTGAGAGATAATTTAAGGCACAAGTTCTTAAGAATAAACAATTAGGTGTCACAGCTGGAAATCTGTTCAATATTGAGAATGTTACAGCTCACGGACAGTGTAGGAAAGCGCACATTGAGGGAGCATAAAAAAAGCTAAGATACGTTGAATCTATAATAAATAAATAAATAGTTTGTTTAGTAAACAGGAACCAAGAATGTTATACAAGGTATTTGCTTTTGAAAATGGAAAAGAAAAATTTGTAATGGCAGGCATGACATTGACGAAGAATTAAAGCGACAGTTAGAAAGCATTTATTATTTGAATGTATTGATAATGTTGGGCTTGTAACTGCGCACTCTTTGGGCAATGAAAACTAATTAATATCCCACACAGGTCAAGGATATTACACGTAACATACGCAAGGCCGTTGTAGCCACAACATTGGCAGAGCTGCGCCTCAAGGTGGCCGCAAAGTTTCAGCGAGCTCAACCGGCAATTCATTTGGACTGCGACGGCACAGAAATTGATGATGAGGAGTATTTTTCCACACTGGAGGCGAATGCAGAGTTAATTGCCGTTTTCCCCGGCGAACAGTGGAGGGATGTAAGTTTGTTTTACCTTTTAACCACGCTTCACTGTGCAAATTCTGCCTGCCTTTACAGCCCAGCGATTACAATGCAAATATGCGTCGTACCTCCCTGGACGCTCAGCGCCTACGCAAGCTAGTGGGTAAACTGCAGCAGAATCTGCTCAACGATGCCGATTTGGATAAGCTATCGAATATGGATCCCAATTCACTGGCAGACATCACCGGACGAGAGCTGAAGGACAGCGATTATTGTGTTCAGAGCGAGGCAGCACTACGATCTACGGAGTTGTCCTGTTAAATTGATTGCAACACTTGTTGCTATTAGTCATGATTTCTTAGAATATTTGTGTCTATTCAATTTAAAACACCTAGAAACCTACCCAATATTCCTGCACATATGGGCAATAGCAAAGTGAACCGTCGCTTATGATAGATTTGTAAGGAATTTGTAAGAGTTTTGTATGTCAAGCTGGAGCTGATCAGAGAATGCAGTTTCGGGTATTTTTGGAGCATGTTTTGATAGCACATATTGAGAGCGACGATTTAGATATATATATATGTATACCGTATATTTATGTAGTCTAGTTGTAGAGCACTTCCGGACACAATAATCTAGAGGCCACAGTATCTTCAGGATAATCATATTTTTTTAAACCTACATTGTGAATATGAAATGAAAATATGTGAAGTTAAAATACACTTCGAAATGAAAACTAGTCTGTTCCTAGACCAATATGCAACATATATAGACCAAAGTTCAATAAAGCCCTTTGTCTATCTTATCCACTTAAGATTTTTAGCTGCTTAAAGCAATCGCATGTGTTTACAATCCAAACCACAAACATGGTTGCCAGATCTAATTAATTGATTATAGTAAGGTAAGGTAAGGTTTGTAAATTTATCACACATAGTTTTGGTTAATAGGGAGCAATTCGTCTTTTAAACAATGCATGTAATGTAAATTAATTTGAATTAAGCAAAAATCAATATAAACTACCCAAATACAAAATATTTTTTTCTTAAAATTGAACACAAATGCAAATATATGTTTTATAAATGTGCTACATCTTTGTGTATGTATGTATGTGTGTGTATCTGTGCACTTTGTTTAGCAATTAACCATGAAAAGAATACAAAATAGAAAGTCATTCAAAGACAAATTGAAATGCAATTTACGATTACAATGCGAACTCTTTCTCCACATTTTACAACACGAAATTACCGCAAAAATCGATCGATTCGAAATTGGTAAAACTGGCAAATAAGATAAATGTACGAAAACTTTTTGCATTGTCAGTGAGTTTACGAATAAATTGAGATTAAATGTGTTAGTCGCTTTGTGTTTTATTTGCTCGTCGACTGGGTTTCTATGGGTAAATAATGAGCACCTATTACTTAGAATGGGGTGAGCTATGCTTTTTAAATGATATTAAATTAATTTCTGAAAGCATTTTGGGAATTTCTTTAATATTAGATCAAAAAAGTTTAGTCAATCTAGACATATCCTCCTGTCTGTCCAAACAACTTGTTATTGAATTAAGATATTGCACATAATTTTCCTTAATAGTTTTTTTCTTAATTAAATATATATATATATTCCAAATTGTTATTCAAACTCTTATTTTGCGTGTGATTTTCAACGTGAACTGTTTTAATTATTATTTTATATTTTAAATAAGTATTGCAAAAACAATTTCAGGAATTTTTTATGCATATTCTCTTTGCTTGAAACTTTTAACTTGCAAGGATTTACCAACTTCTTTTAGCCAGCTGCTAGTTGTTTGCATATTTCCCTGTTAAACTTTTGCAGAAATCCTAGGTGCGCATTATAATGATATGAGTATTTGCATTTTGCACAGTTGCCATTGGCAATGGGAAAAACGTTTATGAGGCAAGCCGCAGGTCAAGTTAATTGCATTTGTGGGTCAAAAGTCAACTGCTGAAATTTGGCTGGTTCATGGATGACAATACGTTTACCAAATGCCAAAAGTCAACGGGTCAACGTTGACAGGCAGCCCGTGGTCATCTACTATATAATGATAATTACTTGGTCTATTGTCTAAAATATTTGCTGACCAATAGCCAAAGGCCACAAATCGAGTTCCTGCTGTCCAGTTGTCCAGCTGTCAAGCTTTAGGTGCAATTTTAATTATGCAAAGTGCCTGATGTGGCATGAATGAGCTTCTTGCAACACGCTTTGGCTGCTGGGAGCAACTTAGAGCAAATTGAATGCTTTTCGGAGCTAAGCCAGTTTGCATGGGGCTTAAAATCTATTAGCCAAACAGGTGCACTGCCATTTGATGGCTGCTTGGGCAATGCAAAAACACTCGTAATATCCTTTTGCTGCAATAAAAACAGAAAACAGAAAAAAACAAACAAACATGAAAACTCTATTTATTTTTGTTGCTTGCGCTTGTGCTGAAAGGTAAACGTTTCAAACCCTGCCAAAGTCACTAAAATATTCTTCAAAGTGGCCTCAGGCTGATGCAGTGTGTGTGTGTGTGTACAGCATTAAACCAGAAACGAAAAAACACGAATAAAATTAAAAAAAAAAAGCAAGAACCTAAAATGTTATGTTGAAAACTGTGCAGGGAATGCCCTGGGCGGACGCGGAGTTTGATATATGGGCAACAATTGAAAAACGCGCAGACAAGTCGGCGATAGTGGATGCAATAAAATGTTGTTTGTATGAATACTCCTGCTAAGTTACGTAGTTGATTTAAGTTAAAAATCTGCACAGGTTTTTAAAATTTCATTGAATTTAAACAAAATTTGACGGTTTCAGATGGCTTACGCATTGAAGCCAGCAAATATAAATATTGAATCATTGAAATAAAAATTATTCGAGCATCAAGAAGATTATATATTTAAAAAAATTAAGGTACACATGATCTGAATGTAACTTCGAATTTTAAAATAAAACCCATATATATTTACATTGCTAAATTTGATGATAAGATTTTGCATATATATGAGGAGCATAGCGATACTTATACATCCAGAGTTTGGTTTATGGCTTTTCCAACTCGGCTGTTGATGCTGATTTAAAATATATGTATATACTTTATGGGGTCGGAGTTGACTTCTTCTGTGAGTAACACATTTTATGACAAAATTATAATACCCTCAACAATTTTTAAAAAGGACATTAGTCTAATTTATTATTAATTTAAGTAAATTATTTAATTTTATTGTTTTGTGAAACAAGCTATATGTAAAATCTTGAAAACTTGACCTCAATTGCGATCAGCCATTCGCGATATGCAACTTGTATATATTAAAAGCTATTAAACAAATTTTTAAAACTAAATATAAATAGTAAATAAATAAAACTAAGACTGCAATATAATAAAGTTAATTTTGATTGCTTAACTAATTAATTGTGAGCAAATTAAATGGTTTGAATATATTATTGCGAGAACTATTCTATTAGTTTTTAAATTTTAATGCAGTTGTCATGCAGAACCTATCAAGCTGTCGCATAAGCTTATCTTAACGCATGACTCGAGCCCCTATTGGTATGCTACACAGAATGTGACAAATTATCAGCCCACACACACGACTCACACACAGAAATATGGTTTGGCGGCCAAAGGGACAATAGATTTGGATTCATATACATACACACACACACACACACATAAATTCGATAGATAGCAATATGTGTGGGACAGCAAAAGGTAAAATCTGAAGGCGTGAGTGATATACGTTGGCGTATGTATGTCTGGGATTAGTCGGACATACATATGCAAGCCAGCGGTCAGTGTTCAATCTTGCCAGGGTCGCGCTGGTGTTTGCGTTCAGTTTTTGTGCTCTTTTTTGTTTCTTTTGTATATATATTTTTAGCTAACCAGCTCATTTCCCATGCAGCCTTTTTTCTGTTTGCATTTTCTTTTTTGTTTGTCGAAAAGTTCGAACGTGCGACGGCTGCCAACTGCCAACTGCCAGCTGGAAGCTGGCAACTAGGGACTGGGAACTGGGAACTCGGGGCTGCCAGGCGCGGTTTGCATTAACAACTATGAGAGATTTATGCAAAAGTTATGCGCTTCTTAGTATCTGTTACCGTTAGTTTTATACGCCCTATACCAGCCTCCGCGTCCCGGCACACGGCACAGCTCATTGAGCTGTCAGGAGAGTTTGTTTTTTCACCTGAGCTCCGGCCTTGGCGGTGGAAAGTGCTGCTAAAATGCGATTCTGCTGTCATTGTTGCTGAATCAAACATATTAAATATTTATTGAATTTATTTTTATATGCTGCTTCCCGTCCACGGACCACTTGTTTGAGCTGGCGTGCGAAATGCGCATTCGAGTTGCACTTAAGCTTACCCATCCGACCGAAAGTAGCCGCGGCAGCTGTGTGTGGGCGTGGCTAATGCACTTGAGTGCTGATTTCCAGCTGTAACTGAACAGACGTCACGTCAACAGCAACAGCAGCGGGCGATACAGATATACGCCAGACAATGCACTCACAGCTCTGACCAGACAATTAAGGAAGAGTCAATCAATGTATTCAATTAGAAAACATGATCATCTAGTTGCTTTTCATTTTGACTGACTGAATAACCGGTTTTTGATGTAGGCCTATGCGAAGACAGGGTTGATACATATTTATGATCAGTAAAATGAACTTAGTCGACCTAGCCGTGTCCCGTCGATCACAGCAATTACAAATAAGAAAGACTCAAAGTCTTAACTATATGGTATATTATCGAACTTCAGACACAGCTGGAGGTTATCATCTCTTTTTAATAAAATCAATAAATACTTTAAAAGCTGGCTTTTCTTTTAAGCATCACTCGATAAATGTAGAAGCCAGAGTCTGTAAATTAGTTATGTAAGCTCGCGGATAGTATACACACATTTAGAATATTTCGTCTATGGATACATTCCTCAGCTGCTGCCAAGAAAATGGGTGTTCGATGTATAGCCTCGGGTTTTGGTTGTCAAATTTATATCCTAAAAGTTTCATAAATATTGGGCTAGAAACACCGAAGTTATTACAGAACCTTTTTTTTGTAGTCTCGCAATAAGGCGAGAAGAAGCACACGTGTATGTATGTAACATCAGCTCCATGTTCGGTTCAGGGTAACTCCTAGTTGGGCACACCCGACTAAAACACATTTAATTGTTTCACGTAAATGTACTCTTGAATTATTTATCTTGCACGTCAATTAATGATATTTATGCTGTTTTCCCTTTTTAATTGAATCTTAGAAAGTAAACAATATAAATAATGAATGCCTGTTAATGTTATCATTGGTTTTATTTATCGTTATATGTATATGTATTACAATTCACGCTAGAAACTAAAAAGAAAGCACAACAAATGTGAAATTCTACTGACGCACAATATTTTCATAAAAAAAATCAGAAAAGTTTATGTGTATGAGATATATAGTATATAAGAGAGAAATGCTAAATGCTCAATGGGCGACAACGCGTTGCTTCATTTTAAATGCGCTTTAGACAGTAGCGGAGCAATAGATAAACAATAAAAATTTCGGGGAACGGAAACAATGTGCGTGGGCGTCGACAAGTGGGGTGACGGTGGGGGTTGGGGGATGGGCGAGAAACGGATAACGCTCAGTAGACAAATTTCTTTTGCTCGCCATAGATGGACTCGTACAGCGAAGGCGCCAAGTGCTCCGCCAGGAATATTTGCAGCTTCTCTTTGGCAGTCACGGGCGTGTAGCGGGCCATGGGGAACGTTCTAGTCACGGCATCGATGAGCACGCGTAGCGTAGGCTGAATGTCAGCGGCCTGAGGATGAAGCGCTCGTTAGCGTGCCACATATACAATGTAGATAAGCTCTGGCTGGGATTAGGCGCTTACCTGGCGCGAGTATTTCTCCACGGATGTCATGGCCGCCTCGTAGTAGTCCTCGCCGTAGGTTTTCTTCTGCTCCGAGGACAGCTGATTCCACATTTGCTTGGCCTGCAAGCAGACAAGAGTTTTAATGAGCCCCTCACTCATGTCGGCCATCTGCAACTATTTTAATGAAACCCACCCCCGCCCCCATCCCCACTTTGGACTGCCCAACTGGGGCATTATCGTAAAAACTGGAACAAGCTAAGGCAAGCTATGCTCTGCCATGTCCTTGTCATTAAGCACGAAATGGCCAGGTGCATTAAAGGTTGGCTGCCTGTGCAATCTTTGTCAATGGAATTTGGCGACTTACCTGCTCGCGCAGCTCCGTCTCGTTCAACCAGCCATTGCCTGGAGCAAACTCGCCCGCCGCCACCACGGACACATCCACGCCGCGTGTGCGCATCTCCTGGCGCAGGCAGGCAGCAAAACAGTCCACGGCGGCCTGTGTGGCGCACTGGATGCCACGCACCGGTGACGGAACACGATTCAGGCCAGAGGTAAGGAATACCACACGTCCATGGGCGCGGCGCACCAGGGGCAAAAAGATTTGAGTCAAACGCGCGGCTCCTTAAAGTGTGGAAGAAGAATCGTAAAATGAGATAAGTGAAGGGAGAAGAGGTGGAGTTCAAAACTCTTTCCAGCTGCACTAATATATTCAAGAGTGCACTTTAGCTAACTATTAATTTGAATTATCCATTCGAAAGGACTTTTTTAAAAGCACACAGTGGCGCCATCTCTTACCGAGTAGATTCAGATCCAAGCTTTTGCGCAGCACTGCGAATGGTATCCACTCCAGTTCACCGAGGGCAATCCAATGGGCGCCATGCACCAAAGCCCACAGGCCCTCAGCGCCATGCGGCAAATGTTGGGAGACATATCGCGCAGCTTCCAAAAGCTGCCAACAGAGTTTGGAATGGATAAGGTATGAAACCAGGCTAAAAGCATTGCCGCCAAAAGCTCTGCAACAACATTATTGTAGACTTACGCTCTTCTCAGAGGTAACATCCACGTGCAGCAACTTCATGCGCCCCGAGGTCTCCTCCTTTAGTATTTTGGCCTCGTCCGAGTCATCGATGGGCGTGTTAAAGCCCGCATAGATTGTAAAGCCCAGATCATCCAGTTTTTTGGCCAGATACCAGGCCAATGGCGAGTCACAGCCGGTGATTAAAACACCCTTGCCCGAAGCAGAAACCTGAATAGGTCAATGGACAAACAAAACAATTGGTTTATTCAACTTTTGTTGTGATTCTTTCACCTTTTGTGAGAAGCCTCCTGAAGCCGTCAATTAATTAATGTTCAATAATTGTACAACCAATTAGCTATTAATCGAGTTGTATCTTTGTTTACTGTGTCTGATAAATGTGCCTATTTATATAAGTTTGTGTGGGTGTATTTAAAAGTGGGCAATTAGCTAGCACTGTTTTCTCGCTTAGGTAATGTGAGACATTTGACCTTATCGAGCTGCCAAGAATGTTTTTAGATTTTGTATAAAAGGACATACCTAATTTAAGATACATTTACGCCTGAAAGTGAGAGTCAATTAGACACATTTGTAGCTTTCGAGCTGCTGTCGCTCAAGTTCGTTACAAGTTTAACATACTTTAACTTGTTGTCAAGTCAGTTCAAGTCAGCGGAAGCTGCTTATTTAGATGCTTAGGTCTTTACCAAGAGCATTGAGTTTCGTGTGAAGAAATTCTTTAAATATATTTTTGTTAGCTCATAAAAATCATAAATAATTGAAGATGCTTTCTAGGGTTTCTTCTTTAAAAGAGTAGTTCGTTTAGTTTGCAATCGACTCTCCATCTGCTCTTTAATCAATCCGCCCGCTTTGCCAACTGCCCGTTAAAGAGTTGCCAACTTGTTGAAGCCTCACTATTTATCCTTTAGCAAAATTAATGTTCAAGGCAGCTGTCATCAACTTTGCAAGCGAACAAGCGCGCGTCAATATTTCTTTTGCATATTTCTTAACTTTCCAAAGTGGAAATAAATAATAAAAGTGCGCATAACTCGTTGGCTTTTAAAGTTGGAATTTTCTTTTTAATTAAATTTTTACTATAGATCTTCTGAACAACGAGGATAAAAAAGGTTAGATAGATGATTTTATAAAAAAATACATAATATAATTTAATTTTATCCATAAACATAATAAATGAATTTTTTGCATGCAGGTTATGTAAAATTATGAGGTAAAATGTTTTTTTGAGAATTAATACATTTATCTAAAACTTCAGTTGAATAATTATTAAATCTCTTAAACTAATTTGAGCGGTAATTTATTGAAGTGCTGTACAAATATTTTCTTCGTAAATTTCATTTTTAGTTTGTCTCAATTATCGTAATTATAGCATTTTGTATGCTGATAGTTGAGTGCAGAAAAAGTATTTTCGCTTTCAAGGGGCAATATTTTATTAGTTGGTTCCGTCTTAAGCTCTGACCGACTGACTGCGAAACAAATACATGCGCAAATTCGAGCTAGCAAGACACACCCACACACACACCCAATCACACATGTACAACACACACACGCACTCATACACAAAATAGACTAAGAAAAGAAGAGCATAGGAACAAAACGTGTGCATTGACACTTCCGTATTAGACACACGCGCCTTGTGGCTTACATGGTATAGAAAAGTGTGTGTGTGTGTGTGTGACTGCCTATGTGTGGGTGTATCGGATGCTTGGCACAAAGAAAAATCGCAGTTTGTCCAAGTCAAGTCAGAAAGAAAGACAGCTGGACAGCTAGACAAACAGGCAGAGAGACAGGAGGCTGAAGGGTAGTGGGCAAGAGCTAGGTTGCCTTTGGTGGTAGTGGTGCCATAATTCATCATGCCATTAGCCAATATATAGTAATAGTTTGTCACAGTATTGGTAACGGCTCAAGTGGTGCGTCTCTAGTGCGTCAATTGTGAGCCCAAGCTGAAGTTGGGCACCGGGGGACCAAGCTCATTGTTCAAGCTATTAAACGGTTATAAAGTGCTCGTAAAATTGTTAAAAAAAGAAGCAGAAGCGAAAAAAAACTGGAATAAGCACAGAGAAGCCTCGTTGTCTGCGCATTATTATTGGCTATGCTGTTGACACCCATTAAGACTGGCCAACATTTTATTGGTGGCTATAAGGTGTGGGCTTATCAAATCTGTGGCATTAATAAAAATTGAAATAACTATGGTCGGACAGGAGTCAGAGGTTCCTGTGACCCATACACCACACCATATCCCGAAGTGTCAGCTGTTTTGTAAGTTTTGGTCGAAGGCAGCGACAAGTTTTTCAGCTGCTGTTTTGTGGTTGTTGCTTTTTATGCGACTTTACTTATTTTTGCCATAAACTTTTGGTCAACTTTTGCTGCTTCTGCTGCTGCTACGTGCCGCTGCAAGGCTGCCAGGCTGCCAGTATCCACTGGCATTACTTTTTTGCTTAGCCACCCAAAATTTATTGCGGTTTTGCTGGAAATTACTTTAAAGTTTGCGCGAGTAAATTGCGGCTAGTAACAAAAACCAGTGCTGACTTAACGGGAATTGCTCAATTAAAATCGAGCAAAAAACCGCGCAACAAAATATTTAGAGTCAATTAAATGCTGTCCATGTCTGGCGAGGTGTAGCAGGGGGGAGGGCAGCCTGCAACAGTTTGTACAAAGTATACAAGAAAATTCGTAAAGTGCATCGAGCGTTGGGGTTTTATTTTTAGATTCCTTTCAAGCGCCGCTCTATGCAATGCTCCACACATCGATCACGTTTCGCATTGAATTGCATTTTTTATTAAGCTCTTAGCGAGGGCAAGGCCAAGGAAGTCGACGTGAATGCTTTAAAAACGGCTTTAAGTTTGTTCATCAAATAGTTTTCATATTTGCAACAGATCTAACGAGTTATCTAACGAATTGTGTGCTGGATTTTGTTACAATGAGAAAATGCCAATTTTAAAATTGTATAAGCAGTTACGTTTAATATGCGGGAATGCATTCACGTTTTTCACTCAATAATTATATATAACGCATGTAAAAATAATGAAAAAAGCAAAAAAACTGATTTAATTTTTAAGCTCATTATTAAATTATAAACTTTAAAGAAATATTTATAAAATAAATATGCAACATTTAGCTAGAGACAGGCAGCTTGAGTTTTTCATATTTATAATGCCACTCCGAATTCTTAATAAACTCTGCATATTAATTACAAAAAATCAATTGTATTTTAAAAATCCAGTTGCTTGCTACAACAGAACGACCTAAGGGGATCTTCAAGCCTGTCGCCAATTATCAGTTGAACTTCCCGCTTTTCTCACCTTGTCGCACCACTTTAACAGCTTTTTGTGCTGCAACAGAAAAGTGAAAGTGGAAAACAAAAAAAGAAGCAAACCAAATCAAAATAGCAAAAAAAAAAAAACAGGCATAAAAAGTTTTGACAAAGTGCAGTTGGGCTACGTGCAAGGCATAAAGAGGCCGACACAACGTTTGACTAGAGCCGTGTCGTCAGCTCAGGAAAAGGAGAAGGTGCAGGCGGGGCAAACAACCAAAGGACGCATCGCAACGTGTGCCTTTAAGGTGGCAGTCATGTCGTGTGTCTGTAAACACGGCAGGATGCGGTTGCACGTCGCTCGCATTGGCTTTTTATAAACGTTACCAAAATAGACGAAAGTTGCATGCCCCAAAATAGGCAACAGCCGACAGCCAACAGCCAACAACCAAGAGTCGCAGTCGCAGTCGCTGTGGGGGGGCATGTGTCAATCAACTCGGGCATTTAACAGAGCTGTTCTTTCCAGCCAAAGTGAGTCGGGTCGCGTTGCAAACGTAGCCGTAGCCGTAGCCGTGGCCGTAGTCGGAGCGGAACTATTGTTAAGCGGAAATGCGCCGGCTTTGTGAAGGGGCATCAATTGCGTTTTACTTAAATGCATCCTCAATTGCATTTTAATTGCAAAGAGCAGTAGATTTACGAGCAGCGTTGCGCAGCAGGTGTTATCTGCAACCAGAAACCAGCAAACAGCAACCTACAACCTGCAACCAGCAAGTAGCAACTGGCACCGGGCTATGGGTACATTTTGCGCGCACTTTTAGCCAAATTTGATAAATGTGCGACTGGCACGCGATTTGCCGCCAACTGCTGCCAATAGGCGCCAACCAAAGCCATGGGACTTGGCTGGGCCGTGGGCGTGGATTTGGGCGAAAGATTCATTAATTTTAACATGCGCACACGGCGTATACGTAATATTTGTATAGTATGTATAATGCATTATGCTGCCCTAATGTGCAAACTGCAACAAGTTAGCAGCATTTCATGAAATCAAATTGTGCCTTAAAGCAGGCCAGGTGAAGAGTGTAGAAGGGACTGAGTGGGGCAACCGGATAATCTAACGCATTTAACTAAGCGACCAAGTCGGGGTTGGCACTTTCTCTGCGTGGGTGTGTTGAAAGTTATGCGTGCAAAATGTAAACAACAAAAACAACAACAACAATAACAACGACGACGACAAGCAGCAGCACACACATGAACCCGAGCACATGGTTGGGGCTTCATTTGCGAGTTACAAATTTATGACTATCAGGGGTTTAGAGCGTAGTCCATAGTCGTGGACACTGGGGCCAGCCAGCTGTAAATATTTTGAGAAAAATATGAGTGTTTATATTGGGCGAGAGTTAAAAGATGCCGGAACATACAAAATAAATTATAGAAAAAGGTAAATAAGCCCATGGATATGTGAAAATTAAATGAAATAACATGAAATACATTCCGAGTGAATCACGGCCGAGAAATGCGATTTTTTTAAGCTTTTATAAAATATTTATACATTAGAAGCAATATTTGTTCTTAAGCAATAGGATGTTCTTAAGGGATGCTTTGGATTTAAGTTGTATGTACGTCCGATTGTTTAGCTGGATGAGATATTGAAATAAGTTAAATGGGGAAGATAGTTTTTATATTTGAAACCAATTATATATCTGACAATCCTAACAAATAAAATATATTGCCCGCCAGTACAAACTGGTTAAATACTCCCCGAGTTTAAGGGCTGACTACTCCAGAATAATATTCCACCGAAGATCTTCTTGAAAGCTCAAACTATTTTTGCCATTATTATTTTATTCAAGCTATTTTGAGCTGTTGGCAACAAAATATCTATTAGTTTTAAATTCAAATCGAATATTTTAGTAAATAATAAGCTTGATGGAATTTGTTGCCAAGCAATTAGTAAGAAGAAGAT